ACAAAATCTTTTATATCGAATTTAGAAAGATCACCACTAGCCCAAAGCTCTGCGAGGTGCTTTTTAAGAACGCTGCAATCCTTGGTTAAATGTCCGGTTACTTTATGAATGTCGCAATATAGACTTTCATCACGGACCCAAGTGTTTGATCTTCCTTTCCCTTGGAAATGCTTCCCGACGGAATTGTTGAAGGGTTGCGACCCAAACTTCCTTGGTCCTTTGCTCTCTCTAGGCTCGAACTTCTTGGTAGGGACGGTGACTGCCGGCTTTTTTTGTTTATTCCGTTTGGCAAAACTTTCTTTTTCGTCTTCTACCTTCATCCAATTGTTTGCACGGAAAAGTGCATCCTGAATTGTATCTGGTTTATGAAGTATTAAGTCTTCTTTAAACCTTGAATCATGTCGCAATCCTTTTCGTAGGGCAGATAAAGCTGATTGCTGTGAGATTCTTGGGAGTTTTGATAGCACCCCTTTGAATTTGGTGATGAAAACTCGAAGTGACTCATTAGATCCTTGCGTTAAGTTCCAAAGATCGGCATCCGAAACGCTTTTATCCATAAGGATAGAGTATTGCTTTAAGAATACGGCTGACAGTTCGTCGAAATTGCTGATCGAACCCGGCTCTAATTGGGTGAACCACATTAGAGCTTGGCCACATAGATTCTCCGAAAACAGCTTGCAATAGCCTGCGTCCTCATCAGCTTCATCCAATTCGACTCTTCCTGCAGCGATCAGAAAGGCTGCAAGATAGCTTTTTGGATCCTCCAATCCGCTGTAAGGGTCCAACTTGAGCTTCCGGGAATCTTTGATCCTCAAACTTGCAATTTGCGGGATAAAAGGGGTTCGCCTTGCTTCTTCAATGACTCGATTGATGTCTGGCTCCGAACTTGTAGCCTGATGAAATTTTGATTTCATTTCTTTTAATTCCTGGCTAACCTTCCTCATGGTCTCGAACTGGTCGAGGTTCTCCTGCTCGTACTGAGCTGCAAGTTGTTCTTCATCCCCAAGCTGCGTCTCTTCTTCCGACGTCTGAGCTACATTATTAGTAGCACCGAGAGTTGTTTGTTCGCTGGTTTCATTTCGTGCAGCGGAACTTGGCGAGTTGAATATCCCTCTTCGGGTTCCCACCGGGTTTCCTGCACTTAAAGAGCGAACACGAGTTTGTATATTATTGACGTTTTGACTAAGAGATACCTGGGATGTTTGCAACGTATCGACGGCCTTCTCCACATCCGAGAACTTTTGTGATATGTCCGACATGGTTTGCTGCATAGCTTTGAGGGTTTCGGCCAATGATGTCTCAACGGCGTCTCCTCCGGACATTGTCGCTTATCTCGGAAATGTTAGAAAAGAAGAAATCTGACCACTCAAGAATCCTGATATTACCCACAGACGGCGCCAAAATGTGGATGTCGGATTCACACACTCAAGTATTTTGTTAAGTGGGAAAGATTATTCTTGAGGGACAAAAATGAATACGTAAGAACTTGTAAATTGATACGAGAATTGCTCTATATTTCTCTCTTTTTTTAGCAAGATCCCCTTTACATGGCCATCGGCCTCTATATTTATACACCGATAAACGACATTAAAATGAGTAATTAAACACAATTATTTCTTCTTAAATGTGTCCGTTTTGATTCTTCGGCTTTAATGCTTAACGTTTGAATTTGAGTTGACTCTGATCTTTATGGGCCTCGCCTCTTTCGGCCCAAGTGTCCGTGAACCGTCTTACCCGTGTCCTTTACAGCGAACTCGTGTCACAGTGTAGTCACTTCGGATTCTCGAAATGGCGACAACCACTTCGACCGTCCCTTTGGCTCGCGGGTCCAATGGGCTTCATCCTTTATGGGCCATTATCTTGATCACGCGGCAATCTTTGGTTGGTCTCGTACTTCTGGTGCGGGATCCGACACCAACATGATTGACTGTTTCCTCCAGTGCACCACATCTGGCACAACCAGTGTCACAATCAATTCCTCTTTTTCGTAAGTTCTCTGTAACCGGTACACACCCCGTTAAGATTTGCCATAAAAAATGATGTATCCTAGGTGGACACTGTACTTTCCAAGTATGAGCCTTTAGCTTATTGAAATCTGGCCCAATGAAAGATGAGTTGGTTTCCAACTTATCCAACCGTGCGGTATGATACCCCGACTTAACTGAATATTTGCCGGATTTTGTAAAATGCCAACCCAAGGTGTCCTCTTTGGTTGGCGCACCCACCGGTAGGGCACTTATTAACTCGACATCTTCCTGGTCAAAGACCGCTTTGAGGAGATCAATGTCCCAAAAATTAGATCGACTATCTATAAGCATGTTAACTTTTAAAGATGGGTCATTAATAGATCCATTACTTTTTGCTGGTCTCGGGAATTGAGCTGGAATCCACGGATCCTCCCAAACTGAGATGGAATTCCCAGATCCGACTCTTTTAATAAGTCCTTTATTTACCAGAGATCTAGCTGAGCATATACTCCGCCACCCATACGATGGGGAATATGACTTTATATTTTCCAAAGGATTGGATTTCCTATAATACCGCCCTTTAAAAACCCTCGCAAAGAGAGAATCCGGAACCGTGATCAACCGCCACAACTGTTTTGCAAGTAAGGCCGAATTAAAATCATCGACGTTTCGAAATCCTATCCTTCCTTCCGATTTATTAATACATAATTTATCCCAAGCCATCCAATGCATACCTCTGGAGGCACCATTCGAGCTCCACCAGAAATTAGCAACCGCACTAGTGAGTTTAGAAGTGATTGTTTTCGGTAGTCTGAAGCACGACATAACATAAGTTGGTAATGCCGCAGCTACCGATTTAATCATCACTTCTTTCCCACCTTTTGATAAAAATTTTGCCGACCATCCGTTAATCCTTGTCTGTAATCTGTCTCTAACAAAAGAGAAAATTTTTGTTTTTGAACCACCGAGACTTTCTGGCAACCCAAGATATGAACCCATACCACCAATATTAGAGATACCTAAGGTAGATTTGATATCTTCCTTCACACCGTCATCTACCTTATGCCCAAACTGGATCGAAGATTTGGAATAATTTATTTGTTGTCCCGAGACCGCTTCATATTGCTTTAAGATCCCCAAGATTACCCCACACTGATCCTTGTTAGCCTTACAAAAAAATAGACTATCATCCGCAAAAAGCAGGTGAGAAACCGATGGTGTTACTTGCACTAAAAGACGAAAGGAACATGCTAACGGAATAATCACGTGTGGGTTTCTTTTAATACGACAACAGTTGATTAGTAAGAAAGAAAGTGAAGTTTTGTTATGGACTATTCTAGGATATAATAATAGGAAAACATATGTAATCTCTTTTTTTCTTTTTATTAAAGAAAAGATATGTAATCTTTATATAAGTAACAAGAAAGATAACATGTGTTTAAAACACTATAATGTAATGATTGAAACATTTAACTGATTTTAAAAATTAATTATATTGAATTTGAGATCTTTTATGATCAATATTATGTTATATGGTTAAATGTTTAAGAAAATCAATTTTAAAGTAGTTCATTCACTGACAAAAAATTAGCTAGATTGTATTATTTAAAGTTCGTATATAAATATACTTAAATAAATGAAAATATTACAACCTTTTTCATTTATAAATTTCATACTAGAATTTAACCCGCGGGGCTATATTTAAAAAAAAAATGTAATGTTATTTTTTTAAAGATTAACTGAAAATATAGCATATTAATTTGTATTTTTAAATGTAGATATCTATCTATGTATTATTTAGTGTATGATTACTATTGTTTAGGTTTCAATTTTTGAAGTATAGATTCGAAAACATACATTTTTTTAAGTAACGATGTATGGTAGATTTTAAAATTTTGAATATTTTATTCCGCAGTATACTGTGGGTCGATTTTTTTTATAACTATAATTTTTAAATTTCAAGTTATATTTGTTTTGTTAATATTGTATATTTTGTTTTTTGTTTAAGGTTGTATAATTGTATTTTGATTGTTAATTTTAGGATTTCATATGTGATAAACTGTTCTTTATTAATATCGATCCAAACCCGTCATCCCATATAAACCCATCTATATAATCCCGTTAGCTAAATTATTAGTGTTATAAAATCCAAGAAAATAAATTCTTATTATTATAAAATCTAATAATTTTAGGATCTTACCCGTGGTATATCGTTCCTTGAATGATTTTAAATTTATACTACTAATATATATTTTAAATTTATCATATAAAATATATGATTTCAACTTTTTGTGTTTTTTTTTTTATTTAAATAAAGCAACGGCTTAAATGATGATATATATAATTCTTTTTCATGTATGTGTATATGATTTTTCTATGTGAATATTTTGATTATTATAAATTAGTATTTTTTATTACTATGCAAAATTTTAATATAAATATTTGCTATTAATCGGATTTATGCATATTTTGTAGAGTAAAATTCAGGAAATGTTTTTTGAAGATATATGGAAAGATTGTGTAAAGATTTTAAGAAACAAATTAGACAAGATATCGTTTGGTTAATATCTTTTATTTAAATTTTGTAACTTAATGATAAATGCTAATGGCATAAGTTGTAAATAGTTCTCAACTCCAGGATTTATTTGTTAATTGTGCTCCAAAAATGTATATATAGATTCATGTAAAGTTTAAAATAATAAATAGAAATTAATATATGAAGTGTATGTAAATATTTGATGATAAATTTAGATAGTTTAGTATGAGACAAGCCCGTTCTTTAGCATGTTGTGCAAATGGAGTAGCCTAACACCTCGACTAAAAATATATTTAAAATTTTAAGACAATTTATAACATATTAAATATAGGATATATCTATAATATTTTCGTAAACATGGTTTAGAGAGAAATTAAGCTGGCCTTGGCATGAGATGTAATTGTTTACAAATCAAATGTTATTTTTAATCTTGCTTGCCAATTAATATATAACGCATACTATAAAGAGATAGCGAAGAGTCAAAATAAAACATGAACCTCTCGTTCGTTGTACATTGGAATTTGGACAAGGACCATCGGATAGTTTTGATGACCAAGCTCCATATCTTCCTGCATTGCCTCCCATTTGTAGACCTTCTCAGGTTTTCGGTTAAACAACTTGACGTAGAGTACTACAATGTTCATGTAAACACTCTCCATGAAAATCAATAATGATATGACCAAACACATAGCTACCACACACTTGAACACTGGAACTATGAGTACACTCCTTGTTTCTCTCCACATAGTGTCCATGCTTATCCCCACACTATCCACGGATGCTTTAAGTATTTCTCCATGGAACTTCTCATAATGATAGACAAAAGAATAAAAACTAATCTCAGTGTAAAACAATTGTACGAAATATATTATATATACATGGGAGATATGTGTATTATAACAAATAAATAAATAAAAAACAGAGGGCGAGAGAGATAAAGAAAGAGAGAAGATGCCTTACCATTACCGAGATGAGGTTAAGAGATAAATCTTGTAGAGAAAGGAGAGGCTTCAAAAGCAGAAACATGTCTTTTCTTTTCTTTTTTGTTCAGTGACTGATTTTTAAGTTGTACTGCCTTCTTTTCTTTTCTTTTTTCTTTTTTTTTTGTAAAGAACTGAATGTTTCTTTGTTTTATAGCTATTTTTTCTATAAGAATATTACAACGTGGAAGTAATTTTAGTACCTAAAGTAACTAACAAAGGATGCAGAAGAAAAAAAACACAAGCTTGTGTATCTAGACATAATTTAAAATTAGGATCCCTATATAGACCCTAGATGCATATTGCTACGGTATTTGGGTCAACTCCGACTATGAGATAAGACTCTTTGGCATGAGTTTTCAGCACTCATCTCGGGAAAATGTTTGGCTTAAAGCTCAAGTTCAAGTGGCCGGCCACACAAGTACGACTTCGTTCGAAATAGAATTGAACCCGGAACTTCAACAAATTTCCTTCCCTAGATACCTCATTTCATTGCCGTACTTAGATACATATTAGCTAGGCCTAGGCCGATTTTAAAAATATTACTTATGTAATAATTTTCTCTAAATAATTATATTATTATTTCGAAAACGTAATGAAAAGTGGTAGTACAAAATTTTGAAACACTATTTGTTTATTACTTAAAATGTTCAATAATCCTCTAAGTTCTTCTTTTTGTTTTCAATGTTTATATAAATATTTTATGAAAAGATGTGTTAATAAGAATGATATGCCTAGTTTCCATTCGAAAAAGTTTTCATTGTAAACTAACTAACTAAATAACCATTTTTTTTCTTTTTCATGTGGCCTTCAATTAGAATAAAAATGGTTTACTTGGGCATCTGCCCTCTCTCCATAATAGGTGGTAGTGGCTATCATATGCGAATTGCTAAAATTATTCCATGCTCACTGTTTAGAGTTTTTTTCATTGTTATTTCTATAATATGTTATTATTACTATAAGAATATAAAACGTGGGAAAGTCTTATTGTATCGGATTATGGATACATCATAACAGTTATCAAAAATACTTTTTATCTACGAGATGATTGCCATGCACAAAGTTTGCATCAGAATTAGATTGATTACGAAGAATTAACATAATAGATTTAACAACTTCTTAGAAAATAAAGCTTTGTTAGGAAAATCATCGTTATATTTTACTAATTTCGTACTATATGGCACATATTTTGCTTATGTATTATTTATATTTCAAAAATTCGGTATATAATATAGAGCCGAATGTTCTAAAACAATTTAGAAAGAGATTATAACATAAAAGGATCACTAACGATGATGAGGGTTAAACCAATACAACAGTCCGCCTTAAAAAACGGGTGAACCTGTCATTACCAAGGTATTTAGGCGGTTCCGCGTACTCTTATCAATCAGTTTGGCAAGAATAGAAGGTGGTGTAGGTGGCTCCCCGTGTCTTTTTCCATTCTGTTTTTTTCAAAGACTGTGAATAGAAAGCTGAAAGACATACCTCAGTACAACAAAAAAGAAGAATATAAAACGTGGGAATAGTATAATATGATAATATTGAAAGTAACTAACTAAGATTCACAAAAAAAAACAAGAAAAATTTGTGTAATACAATTACGTTAATATAGAAACAAAGTACTAATATATGACATGGATTCTTTATACATTACATTAATATATGAGTATATGACCCACTTGAGTTGTGTGTTGCTGTTTTCACATGAACCACACGAAATGGCAAGGACAAAACAATCATAACTAACCACAACAATATAAAACATTGGTAAATGACAAGAAGTATGTATTTAGATAAATGACGAATGTTAAAGTTGTTACTAAAAAAAATTGAAAAAGATACCAGTAAAATATTGGATGAAAAAATCACATGTTATTATAAAATATATATTTTACTTTCAAATATATTTATTGAAATTTTAATATATGTTAGGGTGAATTTGAGACTACCAATAAATTTTAGGGTGAAGTTCACCAAAAAAATAAATAAATTTTAGGGTGAATTTGTGAATTAAACTGCCACCGCCACCACAAATGTTGGCCAGTATATCGGGTACGTACTGTTGAGCTGCATGCATCCAGTTTTATATTGTTGGAAATCACACAATAAAATTAAGTAGGGATCTAAGTCACATTTCAATATGTTGCGTACATTGTTTAAGAAAATTTTTTGAGCATGTGGGATAATTCAAGACTTATAGAAGAAGTTATCTCTTAAAAGAAGAAGCTTCTAGACAGTGGCGGATCTAGAGATATATTTAGCTTGGAGCACCATTTGGTTGTTTTAGTTTTACCAAAATATTACATATATTACTTGTTATCAAAATATAAAATCTGTGATGAAACATAAATAAATATTTTAGATATATAAATACACATATAATATCTTAATAAGTAAATGAATAAAAATCAAAATAAATTTAAATTTGACAGCTAAATAAGGAAGTTGGAGGCTTGGAGCTAAGTGTTTAATTACATTAATGTTTGTAGTGGAAAAAGAAGAAGATAAAGTCAAAAAAATAATGGCAATTGCCTAAACTCGTACCTAGGCATGTGGCAAGGCTGAGAGTACTCAACCAATAGTGCTGAATAATTATTATTGAACACTTATACAAACTAAACATTAGAAAAGTAGCATGGGGCACGTGCCCCACAGGTCCGCCCCTGCTTCTAGAGATAAGTAAGGATATTTACAAATATGTTTTAGATAATGATAAAGTATCTAGATAGAGTTTGTGTTTTACCTAATCCTAATAGATTTGGGAGATGTCCAAGTTCTATATAATACAAGGGTCCATGGAAGGATGTTCCATGAGACTTAGAGAGAAGAGATTTAGTTTAGTGAGAGTTTCTAAATCTAATAAAGAAGTGTTGTTCTTTATATTCTAAGTTCTAGCAATCATAACTTTGAATTGGTATCAGAGCTTGAAGGAGAAGTACCGATCGAAGACGACGATCAAAGCTTCACGTATCCAAGATGGGAGACGTGGAACCTTCAACAAGAACAAAAGACATTGGAGCCCCAACGATCCAATGCCCTATGTTAACAACAACAAACTATACAGTTTGGGCGATGAGGATGAAGATCTTGTTAAGAGTAAGCGAAGTATGGGACACCATAGAACCAGGATCAACGGACAGAAAGAAGAACGATGTAGCGACAGCTCTTCTATTTCAATCAATCCCCGAGAGCCTCATCCTACAAATTGGAGAACAAGGTACGGCGAAGTTGGTGTGGGCTGCGATCAAATCTCGTCACCAGGGAGCAGACCGTGTTAAAGTGGCGAGACTCCAAACCCTAATGACACAACTCGATCGGTTGAAGATGGAAGACACCGACTCGGTTGATGACTTTGCGGGAAAGATTTCGGGAATAGCTTCCCAATCTGCTTCTCTCGGAAATACAATTGACGAATCAAAGTTGGTGAAGAAGTTCTTGACAAGTCTCCCTAGAGGCAAATTCATACAAATTATAGCTTCTCTTGAGCAAGTCCTAGACTTAGAAACAACGGGATTTGAAGACATAGTAGGGAGGATAAAAGCTTACGACGAGCGTATAAGGGATGAGACTCAAGGAGAGGATCAAAGTAAACTCTTCTTTTCAAACAATAGCCACGGAGGCTACGGCGGAAACAGAGGAGGTTATGGAAACAGAGGAGGACGAGGTTTTGGTAGGGGCAGAGGAAGCTTTAGTAGAGGTAGGGGTCGAGGGAGATTCAATAGCCAAGATCAAGGAGCAGCGGCTGCAGAAGAAAAACCAAAACCAAAAAGAGATTGTTCCAAGGTAATATGTTGGAGATGTGACAAAGCGGGCCACTTTGCATTGACATGTCCCGAGAAACAAATGCAAAACCAAGAAGCTAACCTAAACGAGACACAAGAAGCCGATGCCTTATATGTCCATGAAGTCGTATTCCTTAACGAAGATAAGGTAATCCCTAAGAACTATGATACTAATAACAACTCGAGTATTTGGTATTTAGATACCGGTGCAAGTAACCACATGTCGGGAAACAAAGATTTCTTCTCAAACCTAGATGAGAACGTAAAAGGTAAAGTGAGGTTTGGCGATGGCTCTTGTGTGAATATCAGTGGCAAAGGAACGATTGTCTTTATGTGCAAGACCGGAGAGAAAAGAGCTCTCAAAGACATCTATCTCATACCCGAGCTAAAACACAACATATTGAGTCTTGGACAAGCAACTGAAGGTGGGTGCGAAGTACACATGAAAGAAGACGTGTTAACACTAAGTGATCCATGTGGAAAGTTGCTTGTAAGAGTCACAAGATCTCCAAACCGACTCTACAAAACCCCGATGAAAATAAGCAGTCCAATGTGTCTACTTTTACGTGATGATGAAGAAACATGGAAGTGGCACTCAAGACTTGGACATGTGAGCTTTGGTGTCATGAATAATATGGTACAAAAGGAGATGGTCGAAGGAATGCCACGAAGTCTACATGAAAGAGTGTGTGTGACGTGTGCTTAGCCGGAAAACAAACAAGAAATTCATTCCCGATAAAAACAAGCTTCCGTGCGGCACAAGCATTGGAACTAGTTCATGGCGACTTATGCGGGCCAATCTCACCACCAACACCAGCTAACAACCGGTATGTATTCATCTTAATTGATGATTTTTCTAGGTACATGTGGACCATGTTGCTAAAGGAAAAGAGTGAGGCGTTCGATCGGTTTAAAAAGTTTAAAGAAGTTGTGGAGACACAAACCGGGTCAACCGTGAAAACTTTTCGCACCGATAGAGGAGGAGAGTTTACCTCTGCTCAATTCACTTCCTTTTGTGAAGAAAAAGGAATAACAAGACATCTTACTGCTCCTTACACACCACAACAAAATGGTGTAGTTGAAAGAAGAAACCGGACATTAATGGAGATGACAAGAAGCTTACTTAAGGCAATGAGGATTCCGAATCACTTATGGGGAGAAGTTGTTCGTCATTCAACTTACCTCATTAATCGAGTTCCTACTAAGGCTTTGAAGGGTCAAACGCCTTACGAGTGCTTCACGTTCAAGAAACCGAACATAGAACATTTGAGAGTCTTTGGTTGTATGGCCTACGCTAAAATCAATGGACCACATCTTAAGAAGCTAGATGAAAGGTCAAGGAGCGTGGTCAATCTTGGAAACGAGCCGGGTTCTAAAGCCTATAGACTCTATGACCCGGTCTCAAGGAAAGTAATTGTTAGTAGAGACATGGTCTTCGATGAAAAGAAAGCTTGGAACTGGTCGTCTACAACAAGTGAATCCAATGGTGAACCAGGTATGTTTAAACTCACTCGTGGAGGTATTATAGATAATGGAGATGGATATGGGGATGTTCAAGCCAATGAAAACCATAATCCGGATCAAGATCCTATAAACCAAGACGAGGAAGAAGAGGTAGAAGAAGAGGAACATGTTGACAATGCCGTGAATCAAGGAGCAGAGAATCAACAAGTAGTGACTAGATATGGCCGGACGGTAAGACAACCTAGCTACCTTGATGATTATGTGTTGCTTGCAGAACAAGAAAGTGGTAGGTTACTACTTACGGTAGACGGAGAACCCGAAAATTACTTTGAAGCTGAACATCAAAAGGAATGGATTGATGCAATGCAAGCCGAGTTGGATTCAATTCTCAAGAACAAGACATGGGAACTCGTTGATAAACCGGTTGATGTTAAACCTATTGGTCTTAAGTGGATTTATAAGATCAAGAAGAAAGCGGATGGCTCGGTGAATAAATACAAGGCAAGGCTTGTAGCTAAAGGCTATGTACAACAACAAGGCATAGATTTTGATGAAGTGTTTGCTCCGGTGGCACGTCTTGAAACTATACGCCTTCTCATAGCCTTAGCAGCAACAAATGGTTGGGAGATTCACCACCTAGACGTGAAAACTGCATTCTTAAACGGAGACTTAAAGGAGTTAGTCTACGTAACTCAACCGGAAGGTTTTGTGAAGAAAGGTGAGGAAGATCGAGTGTATCGACTTTACAAGGCTCTATACGGCTTACGACAAGCTCCTAGAGCATGGAATGTAAAACTCGACCAAGTCTTAAGAGAGATGGGCTTCAACAAGTGTATCAAGGAACCGACAGTATATCGGAAGAACGACAAGAAGGACGTCTTGATTGTGGCTATCTACGTGGATGATTTGTTTGTGACGGGAACCACACTTAAGGTCATCAACAAATTCAAAGAAGATATGTCAAAGAAATTCGAGATGTCGGACCTAGGGAAGTTAACGTATTATCTTGGCATAGAAGTGATTCAAGGAGTGGATGGGATAAAGATAAAGCAAGAAAGATACGCTCAAGGAATTCTTATTGATGCTAAGATGGAATCGTGTAACTTGACTCATACACCAATGCATCCAAGTCAAAAGATCAACAAGTTGGAAGAAGAACCAGAGATTGATGCAACCGAGTATAGACGAACCATTGGTTGTCTTATGTACCTCCTACACACAAGACCAGATCTCTCCTTTGCTGTTGGAGTTCTAAGCCGGTATATCCAAAGTCCAAGAAATTCTCATGGGATTGCGGTCAAGCATATATTAAGGTATGTAAGAGGAACAACAAACTTTGGTTTGTTTTTCAAGAGAGACGGGTCAAGGAGGATCACCGGATATAGTGATAGTAGTCACAATGTTGATATTGACGACGGAAGAAGCACCTCGGGACACGTTTTCTACTTTGGTTCATCACCGATTACTTGGACATCGCAAAAGCAACCTAAGGTCGCATTGTCCTCATGCGAAGCGGAATTCATGGCAGCTACGGAAGCCGCGAAACAAGCTATATGGCTTAAAGAATTGTTGAGTGAGATACTAAGCGTTGAAGGCGAGAATGTCTTACTAAGGATTGACAATAAATCGGCTATAGCTTTGACCAAGAATCCGGTGTTTCATGAGAGAAGTAAGCACATACTTTCGAAGTATCATTTTATTCGGGAATGTGTGGAAGACGGACAAATCGAAGTTGAGCATGTACCCGGAGAGATCCAAAAGGCGGACATTCTTACCAAGCCATTTGGAAGATTCAAGTTCAAGGAAATGCGGGACCTAATCGGTGTTGAAGAGATCAAGACTCCCAAAATTCAAGTTGGAATTAAGGGGGAGAATGTTGGATAATTCAAGACTTATAGAAGAAGTTATCTCTTAGAAGAAGAAGCTTCTAGAGATAAGTAAGGATATTCACAAATATGTTTTAGATAATGAAAATGTATCTAGATAGAGTTTGTGTTTTACCTAATCCTAATAGACTTGGGAGATGTCCAAGTTCTATATAATACAAGGGTCCATGGAAAGATGTTCCATGAGACTTAGAGAGAAGAAATTTAGTTTTGTGAGAGTTTCTAAATCTAATAAAGAAGTGTTGTTCTTTATATTCTAAGTTCTACCAATCATAACTTTGAGAGCATGTACTTTTTTTTTCTTTTCGAAGTGATATCATTTGATTTTGAGTTAAAATAACCCTAAATTGAGTCATAGGAAGTAATCTAAACATTGGGGAAGTATGTTTAGTTAGATCTGCAGTATTATGCCCGCAATATATTGTTACATACTCCGGATATGCAACATTTAATTTGGCAAAATTGGGGCAGTGAACTATAGTGAAGTAAACACCAAAAATATTATCCATAAATTCAGAATAATACTATATCAAAAGTAAAATGACATTTTAATATACAAATAGCATGAACTAATCCACACATTACTAATTCTTTTTGAGTTAGAGGCGCATGAAATTTAGCATGTTAATAAAAAACTATAAAAAGTAAATTCAAATTTTTTGACTTAAATTTTATAGTTGATCTAGTTGTAGTTCCGATAACCAATCCTACATATTTGTTCTGGTATAATTTCGAATTTCACATTTCTAGTTCATTTCTACTTCTTGTCTGTGTGGGTTTGGCGCCTTCAGTAACTTTTAATTTTCAATAAAATAGACAAAATAACAATCACAGGAAAAAAGATAATAATAAGTTACACATTTACCAAAATTAAATGAAAACAAGCAAACAAAAACATGGATACACTTTATTTAGGTTAATAGAGTGATTTTAAACCATGGACACGTATGAAACACAAAGACACTCAAACACAAAAGACGAAATAGAGAGTCTTATAACTCATAAGTCATGCCAACCTTAAGAAGCTTTGACCTGGGAATCGCAAGTGCTTTGTCTCCTTCCCGACAATTTTTCTTCAAGAAATTGTAAGCATGGTTCACTATAAACTTTTTAAACAAAGAAGACTCTTTCTTTGCCGTTATCTCCGTCTCTCCCATTAGATAAACAATTCCTCTCTCTCTCGCTTTATCCAACAACTCCGTTTGATCCTCCACAGATTGCACGTGGACGACCCTTCCCGACCTAATCTTGTCCGACAAAGATGAATGCGCGGACCCGATCCGCCCCGATGAAGGAACAGAATTAGACGAAGGCACAAGTGTTGTCTCAGCATTTGATTCCTCTTCTTTCTCCGTCTCGTCCACATCTCCTCCTGTGGACATGAAGTGCTCGTGATGGATGAATTCCTTTAAGGAATGAACAAACTGACGCTCAAACTCATCAGGCTCTTCAATGTCTTCCTTGTAACCATACCTCACAACACACCTAAACATCCCGGAATCCTTTGGCCCCACGTAACGGAAAAAGAACCGCTCTGATGATGTCACTCGGTTCACGGGAAGTGTCTTGATCGATATCAAGACAAAAACCGAGTGGACTGACGTAAGATTCGAGATATAATGAGAGAACAATGGAGTTATACCGTGAACAAGCTCCGTGTAGAACAGACCAATCCCTGGAACCCGGTTTATGTCAGGACTTGTAGCCATGTGTATAGCGTTTTCAGGAGAAATCTTCTCCCTCAGCTCGTACTGGTACTTGAGAACGTGAACATATTGCCAGATCGCCATCATCGCCATCAAAAAGACCGTTATCGCTAGCGGTAGATACCCACCATTTGTGAACTTGTACATGACCGACGATAAGTACAACATCTCTATGGAGCCAAATACTATCAAGAACATCGCGATCCACACTATATTGGTCTTCCAGATAAACAGCATTATGAGAGTTACCATAAAGGTAGTGATAACCATAACCGTTACGACAGCGATCCCATAAGCATGACCAATCTTCTCAGTGGTTCTGAAGGCAAGGGTAACAGCAATGCAAGCAAGCATGAGCAAGTAGTTGATCTCGGGGATGTAGACTTGTCCCTCGTACTTAGCCGAGGTATGAACCACTTTCACTCGTGGGAAACAACCCATACGTAGAGACTGCGAGATGATTGAGAAGGCTCCTGATATCATAGCTTGGCTCGCGATGATAGATGCTGCCACCGCCACCACAAATGTTGGCCAGTATATTGGATCTGTTATATCGTTAGAAATTGCACATTAAAAACTCGTATAGGGGTCTAACATAGTATGAAGAATATTATATCCATTTTTCAATGATTTTGATATGGATAGTTATTAACAACATTCACATAGATATTGTTTAAATTTTTCGAATGTATCATTTGGATTAAACTGACCTGGGATTGAGTCGTAGAAAGTATTTGAAACGTTCGAAGTATGTTTAGTAAGGTACGCAGCCTGCCCGCAATATATTGTTACTAGAGCCGGATATGCCACACATGAGAAACTAATCTGTTACATTTTTTTTTTGACAAAATTGAGTCAGTGAATTAAACACCAAAAGCAGTACCATTTTGTTAATTAGGAATATTCCACTTTGGAAATTGGAATATATATGAACAAATCTAGTCATTGCTAATATAATTGGAGGCCAATAAAACTTAACACGGTTTAATGTCTTTTCCATTTTATTTGGATAGTTAGGGAATATAAAAAAAAAAATCACCTGTACAGCTCGAACACTGAAATGACCTAGATCAGCAAACATGGCTTCCGTCCCTAATTCAACAAATTACGTACATTTCAATCATTAGAAAGTAAATTTCATATGTTATGATCACATTCACATATAAAACATATGAGCAATTTAATGGACTCTTACCAGTGATGCAGAGGAAAACACCTCCGAGGGAAATCCAACCATCCCTACCAGCTCTTCTAAAGTAGTAAATAATGTAGAGTGGATTAAGTGCCTTTAAGACGGTAATGTCATGCTTGAACAGATTAAAGAGACCGATTCCGATCAGGAATGTGAACCATACGAGGATGATTGGAGCGAATGAGAATCCAACTTTATCGGTTCCAAACCGTTGAAATGCGAATAGAACAATCAAGATTGCAACCGAAACACCCACCACCGTGTCTACACATTTAACGATCAAATGCCATTGGGTCACATTTAATTACGTTACATTTTTGCATATATCAGAATACTAAACGAAAAGATGAATGTGTTGAGTTTACCTTGGCCAAGAGATTTGATGCCACTTACTGCTGAAAGTACTGGATCAAATAAAACAAATAAAAAACGCATGAAATTTGTTAGTTCAAATGTTATATATACATTAATACATATGATCCAAGAGAAGAAGTTTACTTGGGATTAGAATATATATTAAATCCTCGTATATATATTTCTTGCATATGTATATCATTATCTCATTAAAAATTGTTAGGTCCATCCTATGTATAAATATATATAGACGTTTTGGTCAGAAGATTACTACACAAGCTTACTTTTGAACCAAACCTATCATAGTATTTGGAGCCAAGTTCCATTTTTTCATAGCTATGTACCTGATATGGAAGGAGTAAGGATTCCATCGCCAATGACCATGGAAGTACCCATAATAGTGACAAGGAAGAGTATAATCTTAGCGAATTTGGAGTTCTCGAGCTTCTCTTTGATCATTTGAGCTCTTCTAAGCTGTGTGGTTGGAAGTTCAAGTGCATAGTTTGAGAGCTCTCTGTCTTCTGGTTCTTGGTTTGGGATTAATCCCATTTTTGCATACCGACATATCAATGAGTACAATGCAAATGTTCCTCCTGCGTGAATATACGTAAATTTTCTAATTATCTTAAGAATAATTACAAAATTCAATTCTTATTGTTTTACCCAGATTTTTTAATATTAAAATATTATAAAAAAGTTTTAAAGAATGATCTAAAAGTTCAGCCACCGTACGCACCGCCATAGGCATCGCAAAGCATTTTTTTAAGAATTTATTTAAAAAAAAAACATTTTGTAGGAGGCATTTAAAAAATAATTATAAAAATGGCATTCCTCAAAAATTCTCCTAACACATAATATGTTATTTATTGGGATAATGAGTTTTATTGGTTTATTTATTAACCAAATTGGAAAATATAGGTCTTAGAAGCTCTTCTCCAATTATCATCAGATCAATCTCATAGTTCTAATTTTTCATATATATATATTAAAAATTACACTTTATTAAAAATATATAAATTGAGAATTTTGTTGAATAAATAAAATTATCTTCTAAACTTTAAACAGAATGTAAATATATATATATATATATATATATATATATATATATATATATATACATACAGATATAATTTATTCAAAATACATCATTTGAACTTTGATATTTTAAATCACAGAAACAACCTAATATGAGGTTCAAATTTCAAAGTAACAAAAGCTATGTTTACATACTTCTATTATATATTTCAGTGTTAGTTATCAATATATATATATATATATATATATTATAGAATGTTGTAAAATATCCTATCTAAACATAGAACTATTAACATATCGCACTAAATAATTTTTGAAATATTCAGTAATTGTTTACAAACAAAATTTTACAAACAAAATAAATGAATCTTAATTTACTCATATGGTTCGGTATGTATAAATTCGTCATGTTAATATATCGATAAAATTCCTTCCGTTTCAAAATATAAGATGTTTTAGTTAAAAATATACAGACTTAAAAATATTTATTTGATGAAAAAATTATTTATTTTAAAAATTTAACCAATCATGAAAATAACTGCACAATTTAAATAATTATAAAATATTATACTCCTTCTGTTTCATATTATAGAATGTTTTAGGCATTTTACTTTGTTTCACTATATAGGATGTTTTAGAAAAACAGTTCAAGTTTCTATGTAAAAAATTAAATTTGTATAATTTTGTGACTATTTAGATTCTGTAGGAAAGCATATCATTGGCCAAATTATTTTTAACTATTTATTAAATTATGTTTTAATATAAAATATCTGAAAACTAAAAGAATTAATTAATTTCTTAAACTTTGTGCTTTTAGACAAAACATCCTATATTTTGAAACAGATGGAATATTAAAAAGTTTCTCTAAAACCTCTTTTTTTTTTTTGTTAAAATTCTCTAAAACCTCTTCTATTACGAAACGGAGGAAATATCTTTTATGCCTAGTTCATAATATAAATATCGAAGCAAAGTTTTGAAATAATCAAACCGACGTTATCACGAACATTTAATTTTTTTTTAACCTATGGGTATAATTAAAAATATACTATGTGAATGAGTGAATCCATATGTAAAAATAAGTCAACGTAACTCGTACGAACTCTTGACTTTTGAGGATATGCGAAAAAGACCAAGAAGAAGACATTTAAGGACTCGGGTTACTTGGAATCAAGACTTGTTTTTAAGTTTATTGGATCGCGTGAATCGCGTGAATCGCGTCACGTAAAATGGTCAACAGGCGACATTGTACCAATTGTTCTTCGGCAGGACGTGCGTCACAAAATAAAGAAGTCAACAGTAATAATTAGGGTTATATTAATGTAGCTATACCAAGCAAAAAAAAAAAAGATGATGCTTTGATTCTTGACTAAATCATCACAGATGTACTAAATTCTATAATGTGGATCCTATAAAAGCGCGACCATGTGTATTATTTTGTAGCTTTAAGTTATAACATTATTATAACATACTAGATTTTGTGAAATTTTAGTTTAAAATCTCTTTTATTAATATAAATTTTTGAGCATAAAATATAATCATTAAAATTCAAAAGATAAATATTTGAGTATAAATATAATAATTCAAATTTTAAAAGATAAATTTATATAGACACGAAATTTATTTTACGAAACGATATACAATATATATATTGTCGATGAGAATGATTATTTGACAAAAAATGGTTCGATATAGATCACTTATTTCCTTGATTTGTCATAGAAATCTTAGTGCGACATTTGTAATAAACTATTAACAGTCTAGAAAGCGAAAAAAAGAATACCTTCACCGTTGTCGTTAGCCTGAAGAACAATGAAGACATATTTGACGAGTGCGACAAGAGTAATAGTGTAGATAATGAGCGAGAGAACGCCAATAACATCATCTTTGTCATTGATGCCTTGAGTGAAAGTACTTGCGTACACATACAACGGCGATGTCCCGATGTCTCCATACACAACTCCTAGGCTCTGAAATGCCAAACTCATCGTCGTTCTCCAGCTCATCTATTTCATATATCAATTTACTTTCACCATATTTATATTCATGATCATCTTCTTATCAAACACAAAAGATTTAGATAAATACCAATGAAGGACGCCCGGTATTGATTGGAGTTTGTCCGGCCTCTATGGTAAAAGAATCAGGCCGAAATAGTTTTCCCCATGATTTCTGATAAATAACAAAATAGTTTTTAACAATAAAAACGTTTTGAGAAATATAGTTTTGATGACTATATAAACAAAATAATTTGTACAAATATATGGTTGAGATTTGATAAAAATAAGTTATGTTATATATGTTCTGATTTTTTCTTTGTAGCAATAAAATAAATTATGTTTTTCGATAGATATGAAATTTGATAGACACCTAATAGATATGAAATTTGATAGGCACCTAGACGACCGGTGTAACTCGACCAGATGTTTCTGAATTCTAACTATATAAGAGGATTAACTTAAACACATGTATATATACTTAGATATGCACAAGTTTTAGAAGTAGTTAGAATTGGAGAAAGATGAGAGATGATGATATCTAAAAACCTGAAATAAAATCATACCTTTTTTCCATTCAACTTGTTCTCATGGTTATTAACTTCACCATCTATTTGAGGTTCCTCACCATCCATGTTTTTGTTTGTTTTTTTCTTTTGTGTTGTGATATTGTGACAATTGAGAGAGATGGGCTAATTATGAGATGTGTTTTAACTGTTCCTTTTCCAGTGGCATTTATAGACGTAATAGTAAGCTGACTTTGTGTTTAAACAAACAGCTAAAAATCTCCATCAGTCTGTAGAAATAGAGTTATTTAATGTGTGGTAGGGACACGTCTCAAACACGCATTGCCGGCTGTTGAAACTCTTAAAATATTTAAATCTACATTAAATTTTAATGCAAAATGTTTTGGGAAATGAACTAGCTAAAGAGTCGGAATATTCCCTTGTGGTTAGTACGTACAACACCTTCCGAATCTTTTTGTAGTACGTACAAGGTACAGCACCTTCCGAATCTTTATTCCGAATCGTGGTTGCAATTTCAATTGCTATTAAGTGTTTTGAACGATTCGTTTACCAATTAAAAATAGGTGTATTTGTGAAAATTTTACGACTGGTTGACCAAGAAACGTAACATCGGTTAAACTCAAAATTACCCAAATAAATGTCATATATAATTATTAAAAATATATTATTACGATAAAATATAAAAAAGTTGAACATGATTAATAATGAAAAACATAAATAGATAAATAGAGTACTAAATAATTATTCAAAAATTAAACAAATAAATTTTATAATGAAACACAAATAATTATTTATAGGAGATAAAAAAATAGAGAATGTTTAGTAATTGAGAATTAAGTTGAATATATAGGTTTTGATATATATAAAATTTTATATATCGTTTATGTATTTTTTTTTTTTTGAACCATCTGCTATTGCCTGCAACCTTAACATTTTGGAAAAAAAAGCTCTTGAAATTTAGCGATAACAACCGCAAACACTCACAAACACTTCGTTTTTTGGGTGGTTGCGTAAAAACTAATCAAGTCCTAAATATGTAAAATTCAAGAAGTTTACGTGTGTATGTGAACGGCTACATGTCTTGGTCATACGGTGTGGGTTCTATCAACCGTACTTAGGTGACCATTCAACCAATTAGATGAGTTTGTGTACATTTCCTATTTTTATTTATTTATTATAAAAAACATAATGTAAGATGTATGAGACAGTTCAGTACCCAACTAAGGTGTCTTTACTTACCTTTTTAATTCAAAAGAATAGATAAAAGATCGTATAATTTAAATTTACTGACCAGTATAATTGTATTTGAGAAAAAAAAAAAAAAGAAATTATGTGGGTTCAACTTACTTTTAATCTCCTTATTTTGTACTAATGGTTCCATTAGTTTCATCGATTTTGTACTAACTAATCTTATTCTATTTGCGCTAATGCTTCGTTTGTTTTAGCATCGTCTATTTTACTGTCTCCTGGGGATCGTCAGTCTTAAAACATCTCTATCAACTCTTTTGAGTCAATGGCCCCTCACCAATTGTATTGTTGCCTTCTAATTTATCTATATAGAAATACGTATTATTGAGGGTTATTTATGTATTGGCATTACTAAAGGTTAAACTTGTATATTTATTTCTTGTCAGCTTTGCTAATTCAATGGCTTGTTACCAAATATATTCCCTTTCTCTACATAATTGTTTTCAACGGTACTATCTTCTATATTTAAGTTCTTAGAGAATATATTGACAAGCTTACATTATTGGAATAGAATACAATTTTAGAAATTTTCAAACTAATAATGTTATTGGAATATTTGACACATTATGTTGCAATTGCAAACCACAAAATAAGATATCGCATTATTTATCATTGATAGCCTTTTTTCTCTAAGTCTTCAATATTTAATTTTTGTAATCAAATCAATAATGGAGATACATTAATCTTACCAAAAAAAATAATGGAGATAAATTAGAATATGAGCGTTGACTTATCTAATTCTGTCTCTCTTTATTATTTCAAACGAAAAACATCAAATTTTGACATAGTGCTTGAAACTTTCAAGTTCGAAAGCGAAATAAGGAAAATACATACATATAGTTCACAATGCCCATCATTTAGCAGTGTTTTGTCGATGCATAGCATATGATTTTTCTCACGAAGCCATTACATTAGCCTACTGAAAGAACTGCCTTGGGTCAGTGACATGACCGGTTAAAGCCGAGACTGCAACGGTGTAAGAAGAAGCTACGTATATATGCCCTTCTTTGTGTCCCATCCGACCAGGGAAGTTCCTTTTCGTTATTGATACATACACCTGTACCAAACATTTTAAACACGTCTATGTTAGTCTCACTACAAATAAACCTCCACGTTTACCATATATCATAGATAGGATTTTTCAATGATTTAAGTAAAAGACTTAATTTTAATAAACTTTCATAATGTAGGCCTTTCTCTGGGTTGAATCGAATCTTATATTTGGTAATTAATCCTTACTAATCATAATACTAAAATCGAAACTTATATTTGGTAACTAACACTAGACACATTCTCTACATATCGAATTTAAAATTGGCTAAACCAAGAGATGTACAATTTTTTACAATATTCCATAATAACTATATTATTAACATGTGTAAAACAAGGTTCAAAGGTCTGAATTTTTTGTGTATTTACTTCTCAACAAGTTACAATATGTATAGCTGAGTACACATAACATATATACAGTAAAACCTCTATAAATTATTAATACTCGTTAAATTAATAATTTCTATAACTTAATAAATTCTTCCAGTCCCGAGTAGGGACAATTGTTTAAAATGACACAAATCGATAAATTAATAAGATAATATTTTTTTTTGAAAATCCTATGTAAATATAAGGTCCCATCAATACTATAAATTAATAATTGTATAAACTTATCTATATATATATATATATATATATATATATATTACTCTATTCATATTTCAAAGGTTCAAAGGTCTGAATTTTTTGTGTATTTTACATATACAAAAAATATTACTCTATTCATATTATATATATATATATATATATATTATGTAAAATATTCTGTGAAATATGAATAGAGTAATATTTTTTTCTTAAATTTGTATTAATTCTTGGTAGAGTTCAATTCTAATATTTGAATATATATATATATATATATGTACATATTGTTTATTTTTACTACATCTTAAAAAAATTTGTGTTATTTTCTAAGCTTAGTAATTTATTTTCTACTTGTAATTTGTTTTAGAAAGATATTGATTATAAAGAAAAATTTGATTTTCATAAAATATTTTTTAAAAATTACAAAATTAGTCAAATCTCTCTATAAATTAATAATTATTAATTTTAAATTAATAAGAAATTCCGGTCCCGACATTATTAATTTACAGAGGTTTTACTGTACTAATTAACCGCACATACATCCGCAACGTGTAAACAAGTCAGGCCCAAAGACAAAAGCTAACCTTTTGTCTACTTACCAGTTAAAGAAATGCTCAGACCATTTTGGAATTTTAGCAGCAAGCTCATAGCCAATTAAAACTGTGTGAAAGGAGACTTAACATATTACATATGTTGCCTATAAGTCTACTAAATGATAGATGGGTTATTTCTATTTCTTCAATTTCGTGTATTTATGTATAACAGTTGTTTTGTAATGTTTCTTTATTTTATAAAAAAAAATTTGATATCATTATATTTGCTTTCACGGAAAAAAAAAAAATCGCTTACAGCACAATATTATTGGCATTGATGCAACCATTTCTTATGGAACGATAACCAATCCTAAATCCTTTGTTCTAGTATAATATATTTCGAGGTTCACATTTCTGGTACATTCCTAATTCTTTGTTTCGGCTGAGCTAATGTAACTTTTAAAAACGATAAACACCAACTGACAATATATAAAAAGGGGTAATAACTAATAAGTTGCACATTACCAAAACTTAAAGAAAATAAGCGAACAAAAACAAGGGTCACCTAGACATGGGGACACTTTATTTAGGTCATAATGATTAAACCTTATAACTCATAAGTCATGCCAACCTTGAGAAGCTTTGACCTAGGAATCGCAAGTGCTTTGTCTCCTTCCCGACAATTCTTCTTCAAGAAATTGTAAGCATGGTTCACTATAAACTTCTTAAACAAAGAAGAATCTTTCGCCGCCGTCATCTCCGTCTCTCCCATTAGATAAACCATTCCTTTCTCTCTTGCTTTCTCCACCAGCTCCGTTTGATCTTCCACAGACTGCACCTGCACGAACCTGCCCGACCTAATCTTTTCCGGCGAAGATGAATACGCGGAACCGATCCGACCCGAGGAAGCTGGGACAGACTTAGAGGAAGGCACAAGTGTGGTCTCAGCATTTGGTTCCTCTTCTTTGCCCATCTCGTCCAAGTCTCCCCCGTCTCCGGACATTAAGTGCTCGTCATGAATGAATTCCTTTAAGCAATGAACAAAATGACGCTCGAACTCATCAGGCTCCTCAATGTCTTCTTTGTAACCATACCTCACAACACACCGAAACATTCCAGAATCTTTTGGCCCCACGTAACGGAAAAAGAACCGCTCTGATGACGTCACTTGGTTCACGGGAAGTGTCTTAATCGATATCAAGACAAAAACCGAGTGGACGGACGAAAGATTCGAGATATAATGAGAGAACAATGGAGTTATACCGTTAACAAGCTCCGTGTAGAATAGACCAATCCCTGGAACCCGGTTTACGTCAGGACTTGTAGCCATTTGTATAGCATTTTCACGAGAAATTTTCTCCCTCATCTCGTACCGGTACTTGAGGATGTGAACGTATTGCCAAATCGCCATCATTGCCATCAAAACTACCGTTATCGCAAGTGGTAAATACCCACCGCTCGTGAACTTGTACATGACTGACGAGAGGTATAACGTCTCTATAGAACCAAACAAGACCAAGAACGTAGCGATCCACACTATGTTGGTTTTCCAGATAACCAGCATTATGAGAGTCACCATTATGGTTGTGATGACCATGACGGTTACGACAGCGATCCCATAAGCGTGACCAATCTTCTCAGTGGTTCTGAAGGCGAGGGTAACAGCAATGCAAGCAAGCATGAGGAAGTAGTTGATCTCGGGGATGTAGACTTGTCCCTCGTACTTAGCCGAGGTGTGAACCACCTTCACTCGAGGGAAACAACCCATACGTAGAGACTGCGAGATGACTGAGAAGGCTCCTGATATCATAGCTTGGCTCGCGATGATTGATGCTGCGACCGCGACCACAAATGTTGGCCAGTATAGCGGATCTGTTAAGTTGCATCCAATGTTATATCGTTAGAAATTGCTATCAAAAATAAGTAGAGGGATCTAACATAGTATATGAAGAATATTATATCCATTTTGAGATGGGATGGTTATTACATTCACATATACTTTGATACGTTATAGATTTTTTTTTCTTTTCCAAACGTATACTAACCTGGGATTGAGTCGTAGAAAGTATTTGAAACGTTTGAAGTATGTTTGGTAAGGTATGCAGCCTGCCCGCAATATATTGTTACTAGAGCCGGATATGCCACACATGAGAAACTAATCTGTTATTCAAAATTGAGTCAGTGAATTAATTACAAAAAGTAGTAACCGGTTTGTTTATACATTTCAGTAATATATAAGAAACATATGCTAATGAGTAGTAAGATATTTTGAATTGAAACCCAATAATACTTAACAAGTTTCGATTTCTTAAAAATTATGATAGCTAGGGAATATTAAATATCACCTGTATGGCTCGGACACTGAAGTGACCTAGATCAGCAAACATGGCTTCCGTCCCTAATTCAACATATAACATTTCAATCATTAAATTTCATATTTTATGAGCAATTTAATGGAAGATATAAAGTATACATTTATTTATGGACTCTCACCAGTGATGCAGAGGAAAACACCTCCTAGAGAAATCCATCCCTTTCTACCAGTTCTTCTAAAGTAGTAAATAATATAGAGTGGATTAAGTGCCTTTAAGACGGTAATGTCATGTTTGAACAGATTGAAGAGGCCGATTCCGGTAAGAAATGTGAACCATACAAGGATGATCGGAGCGAATGAGAATCCGACTTTGTCGGTTCCAAACCGTTGGAATGCAAACAGAATAATCAAGATTGCAACCGAAACACCAACCACCGTGTCTGCGCATATATCATCAAATATCATTAGATAAGAATTAGGTACGTGACATTGTATCAATTAATAAGCGAGAATTAAGATGAAAGTGTTAAGTTTACCTTGCCCGAGCGGTTTGATTCCACTCACTGCCGAAAGTACTAGGAGAAACAAAATAAAGAGCATGAAATTAATACTTTACTCCGAAAAAAAACAAAAAGTGTTATCTATGACACATATATGTATGATTCTAGCTAGAGAGGAAGATCGATTGATGGTTTTGAACCTGAGATAGAAGGAGTAAGGATTCCATCACCAATGACCATGGAAGTGCCCATAATAGTGACGAGGAAGAGTAGGATCTTAGAGAATTTAGAGTTCTCTAGCTTCTCTTTGATCATATGGGCTCTTGTGAGCTGTTTGGTTGGATGTTCAAGTGTATAGTTTGAGAGCTCTCTATCTTCTGGTTCTTGGTTTGGAATTAGTCCCATTTTTGCATACCGACATATGAGTGAGTATAATGCAAATGTTCCTCCTACGTTCAAATATTGTAATTAAACTAATTTACATTTAGACTAAATAATGAATCTGGCATTATTAAGCAGTAATAGCTTCATTAAGATCTTTCTTGTCTATCAACATTCAATAATATGATTTGGCATGTAAAAAAAAAAAAAAAAAAAAAAAAAAAAAAAAAAAAAACTTTGTTATTATGACCCTAGTCTACAATATCTTGTATATCTAGTTCATAAATCACAACATAGACACCAAAACATAGAAAAATCTATAGATATTGAAAATTTCACATTATTAACATATTGGTTATAAATGAAATAAACTATCACCAGAGTTGCTCCTACTCTTGTTAGGGAGTAATGAAATTATATATATATATATATATATATATATATATATATTTGTAATAAAATTAACAATGCAAAAAAAACATTACTCTTACTTTTGTAAGATAATATACATAATTTAACATTATTTTCTAGTAACTACAATATCAGCTCCGAAACCACTTCTTTTTTTTTGAAATATGCCTTCCGAATTTCCAAGCATCGTCACTTGGAAAACAAGCATCGCAACTTGGAAAACTTGTGGACGAAAACATCCGAATAAATTGTGTATTCATTCAAATATTTAATATTATCTTCTTGATCTGTGAAACAAAGTTTTAAAATCCCAAAATTTGTATCATATTAAAGAACATAAGACAAATCAAAAGTATTATTTTTTCCTCAGTTAAGCCCGCCCCTAATTATCACCACGTATAACAAATATACAAAGACAACGTCGTACGCGTACGTACTCATGACGTTTCGAGTTTTGAGGACACGCGTTACATAGGCAACAAGAGTAATCACGTTTATTGAATCGTGTCACTTGACAGTATTATATAAAATCGTCCATATGCATACGAAATTGTTCATATATAATATATGGAGGTCGTGCATCAGAATAATTCCAAAGTCAACAGTAATAATTGCAGTATATATAATTATAATAAAAAGCCAATGAAGTTTGGATTTTTTTTTTTTTTTTGATTAACTCATAATAGATATTCTATAATCTCTTAATAGTCTAAGTTTGTGTATTTTTTTTTTGTCACTTGAAAGAATAGCATTACCATACCATATGATAATTCAGCTTGCTTGTTCAACAAGCCTAAAAATTACTAGATGACAAAAAAGAGAAGAAAAAACAAATATTGCCATAAACTCACTCATTATTTAGAAAATAAGTGAAGTTGTACGTTTCATTTTTATTCTACACCATTACTACATATATAATTTATATATAAAAAAGCATATATAAACTTTAAATTCCAAAACATCATTTTTTAAAGTTATTTATCTTTTCGTAATCTATGTAAAACCGCCTTTTTGGTTTATTAAATTATTTGTGTTTTACAAGAAAAAAAATGTTGTTTTTTTTTATTTTTAATACAAAATTTGAAGCAAAACTATAATTTTATGTCAATTAATCCATTTTATTAATTATAAAACGTAAAATATCAATATAAATGTAGTAATATTGAGTTTTTAAGAAAAAATATTTTAATGACATTAGTAACGAACGATCCAACCATAAAAGTACCTTCACCGTTGTCGTTAGCCTGGAGAACGATGAAAACGTATTTGAGGAGTGCGACGAGAGTAATAGTGTAGATAATGAGCGAGAGAACGCCAATGACATCCTCTTTGTCATTGATGCCTTGAGCGAAAGTACTTGCGTACACATATAACGGTGATGTCCCAATATCTCCATACACCACTCCTAGACTCTGAAATGCCAAACTCATCGTCGTTCTCCAGCTCATCTATGTCACATACAAAGTTGTATGTTTTTATATACAAAGTTCTGATCATTTTATTCCTCAAACACAAAGAATTTAGATACACACCAACGAGGGAAGACTAGTATTTGTCGGAGTTTTCCCAGCCTCTACTATAAAGGAGGAGTCGGGTCGGTATAGTTTTTCTCGTGATTTCTGTTAAAATAACCAAAAATTTAACAACAAAAAGTGTTATGATACTTTGATGGCAATATATAAATACGACAACTAATTTGTAGCTTTGATGAACAATTTCCAATCAAGTATTGGTACGATAATTATTCATTTTTTTCCATCAACACGTAAAATAAAAGTTTGAATCTGAATTGTGATACAACAACGTTAACATAAACTATTAGATTCCATGGTTGATAATTTGGTTGATACCAAAGTGGCTGGCCCTTTTGATTTTTTTCTTTTAAATGGGAAGAAAAATAAACTTTTTTCGATAGATATAAAATTTGTTATGGTTCTAGACGACCAAAGTAACTCGACCTATAGTTTACATGAATTCAAACTATATTTAGAGAATTAAATTAAATATATGTGTACTAATGTTAAGAAGTACATATATCGAATTAGAGAGAGGGGAGATGGTATCTAATTAGTGGAATGAAGTAATACCTTTTTCTCTTTCGACGTGTTCTCACAGTTATTAACTTCACCATCTACTTGCTGTTTCTTAGTGCCATCCATTTTTTGTTTTGTTTGTTTTGTGTTGTGCAATATTGTGACACTTGAGAGAGATCGGCTGAATAGTCGGTACTTTTTCCCGTTGCTTTTATAGGCATAATAATGGGTTTAATCTGGTCAGGGCCGACCCAAATTATTTCTATATCTAAAGCATAAAAAAATTTAAGTCCACTAACAAACAAAACTTTAAGAAAAATCCAAAACAAGAATAGAAATGACTCGAACTAGTCATCTCGTGGACGTTAAAATACATGTTTACTACTATGCCACAAGTTATCGTTAAAAATAAACCATTTTAACTTTTAAAATATATTTGTCATGCAATAGTAAGAGCATCTCCAATGGTTAAGAACCAAATGGTTCTTAACCTTAGATCTTAGCATTATTTATAATCTAAATTTTGCTTTTTGTGAGTTAAGAAAAGAAAGAAAACATCCTAAGAAAAATGAGCTCCAATGGTTAAGAACAAAGAGAGTATCTTGGGAAAAAAATTCAAATTTTTACAAAACAATATCTTCCAATACAAGCAATCATACAATCAAAGTCATACAAGCATTTTTACAAGAATTAAAGAGAGTACAAAGAACAGAGAAACCTATTGGTAAGTAGAGAATTTTGTCCAATATAAACCGTAAGCAAATATAAAACTCATTCTTACCATTTCTCTCTTAAGGTGATACTCATTCAACTGCCAAGTCCCAAACCCAATCTGAAAAGCAGAGATGTTCCGCATGTCATCTCTGTCCAAACCAAACCTGAAAAGCACATTTGAAACTCATTCAACTGCCCAGCTGGGAAAACGAGTATGGTAGTGTCAACAGAGCCACCAAGCATCATAACCAGAGCCACCATGCATCAAATTCAATAGAAACAAACGGATCAAATTCAACTTTTAAAGAGAATGAAAGAGCAAAACTAAAACAGAGGTTCACTGATATAAGGATGAACAAGGTGAAGATTGTTTTACCTTGAATGAGCCTTCCCTTCGGTCTCCATTTCAATATCTCTAGCAATTCTTGCAAATTCTCCATTTAACCTCAACAAAAACAGTATAACGGATCAATTCAAATGCAAAAGTTCATGCTAAAAACAGAGAAATATATCTAATTCAAGCAAAAACTTATCAAACGAATCAAATTCAAGGTTCAAAACGACAGTATCTGCGATGTCAAATGGAAACAAACGGATCAATTCAGAAATCCCAATCTTTTAACATCATATGAACCCTATTTTTTAAAAAAACTTTCTGCTAACATCATCGAATCCTAATTTGGTTTGAAAACGACATGCTAACATCATAGAACACTAATTTTGCTACCATCAATTCCCAATTGTGAAAACCCTAATTTTCGACACAACCCTAAACCCTAATTTATGATCTACAAATGAAATCAGCGAACAATCATAGAGATTCGTGCCATTTCTCCAGCAGATGATGATACCGACAGATCAAAATCGCAATCCCGACTCATTTCTCCTCGCAATTCGACGTATGAATAAGAGAGGCAGAGATTTCTCCGGCGGAAGCTTCGAGAAATAGAGAGAGACAGAGAGACGACATCGGATAGTGAAGATAACAACAGATTAAAAACAAAATTCCTGCCAAAACTCACTCTCAATTCGACATCAGAGAATCAAGAACGTCGGAGACATTTTGTTGTCTGGGTTTCGCGAAATAGAGAGAGAGAGGTGAAATCGAAGAGTTGAAAAAAACACAGCCTTTTTTTTTTTTTTTTGTTCATTTCTTGGACCAATGAGCATTCAACACGTATTCATATCTTAACATCTCAGAAACATCTTATTTAAGATCTATATCTTAGCAAATCTTAGTGGTTTTGATTAATTTATATTATTTTTAAAGCTAAGATTTTCTTAAGATACTGAAATTTGCAACCATTGGAGCTGCTCTAAGTAGTTGTATAATGGACAAGACCTAAACCCGAGAATACAGTTTTAATAATAATCACAAATATTAAAAGCGTTAGTGCGTTACTAAAAGCGTTCTTTTTAGATTTTTTTACAGCTTTCATATACCATATTTTTGTACAATTTTATCCTATTATATAAAAGTTCACTGCTAAAACGTTATTACATCTTTGTATTATCAATCAGATCCAATATATTGATTTCGGTTCGCGGTTCGGTTCAGGTTTGATACCGTTTTTTGGATATATGAGTTTAGGAATCGTTCCTATATTTTGTCGGTTCCGGTCTATTCAGCTCCTCTTTTATTTTTTTATTCTGTTTTAGTTTGGTTATTTGATTCTGAGTATTTTGTCCATGCCTATGAATGAGAATATGTAAAATAGGTATTTTTTTAAGTAGGTATATTCTAAGTAATTTTAAAGGTTAGTCTGGAATATATAAATTTCTTTTTTGTTAATAAAATGTTAAATTATTAATCACCAAAGTAGATAATATTTACACTAATCGGTTAAAACGAATTTAATAAAAGAGCTAGAACATAGCAGTTAAAAAAGTTAATCACCATACTTTGAGTTTAAGTCAGGAGTATATATATATATAGATAGATATTTTCGATATTAGTATAAAATGTATATATATATATATATATATATATATATATATATATATATATATATATCCTCCTGACTTAAACTCAGAACTTGACTCCTCGTTCATACCTGATAAATGAGAGCAATGTGAAAAAGAATGGTATTTCTCTCCCTGATAAAAAAAATAAAATAAAAAGATTGAGATGATTTTCTTTTGGAGTAAAGAGATAGGAAAATTTCCCGTGATCTCATCATTTTACTTCAAGAGGAATGATCACACGAAGGTTGGAAGCGAGGTTAGGAACATTTTCGATAATACCATTATTCGTCTACACCTTTGAAAATAAATAATAATAAAAAAAAATAGTTGAAAAATAATAAGTCTGGGAGAGAGAAAGAGTACCAAGATATTGTGAGATAGGTTGATTTATCATGGTATAGTACGGGAATGAGTTTATAAGGTTCTTGAGTACTGATTTTATTGACGAGATTTATGCGATGAGGGCTATAGGATATAGTTGTGGAATTTCGTTTAGATTTTGGAATGTTGAGAATGCTTGCGGAGAATTACATGGTGGTTAGGATTTGATGCGATCTGCTAGGCATATGGATTTGGTTTGAATAATCAAGGTAATAGGCTAGAGAAATTGGGAGTTTCTGTGTTTTCAAACTTCTTCCACGGGTTCGGTTTTTGTGTTTTGCTTGAGAGCAAGCAAAAGCTAAGTCTAGAATAGTTGATATATCATAGATTTTACCAGTTTTAACCGTGATTTATGTGTCAGTTTTAGAGTCTTTTATTGTTTTTAGTTTATTTTCGAGTCTTTTCAGTTTTTACACGTTCAAGACAAATTTGGAGAAAAAGAACCATTCTTGAGCTAAACCGAAGATTTGGAGCTGAGGAGACGAAATTGGTATCGAACCAAGGCATGAGTGTCGACCGACACCCATTGGTGTCGCTCGACACCACACACGGCCCAGCAAAAGTCTCGACGGTTTGAAGAATTTTAAAGCCCGGAGAATCAACCCAGAAGACTTCACTATTTGCAACTTTAGTCCCTGCATGTTTTGGAGACTTTATAAATAGTTTTTAAGGTTTTTCTGTTTCTTCACCCTGCAATTCTGCATCTTGTCTTTGGCTTTTTTAATTCTCTGAGCTCGAACCCAATTGGAATATAATTGGAGAGAGCAACTTTTCATAGATTTCAATACCCTGTTAGAGAGAAGATTTATTCTAAACCCTTTTCTTCTTTTGATTTCTTATTTTACAATTTATTTAAACATGTTTTCTGTTTCATTAATCATGTCTGCGTAATCCCCCTGTTAGGTTTAGGGATTCTCATTAGGGACTTAGATGAATTAGTAAATCGATACCCTTTAGGATTAATCTATAGAGTTCTTCATCTAGGTTGTTCTTAATGTTAGTTCTAGAGTAGCTAACTAGAACTTGATCATAAGATAATAGGTTTTGATCCGAGAGGACGTCTGTTACTAGAACTACTTTAGGTGAGCAAATATTTCTAGATTCATCGAGAGGTGGTCTAGGGAGACTTGTGAACATATCAAACTTGTGTTTAATGCTAGTCTTGATCTAGGAATTCGTATCCGAGAGGGTGGAATTACTGATATTAGATTAGTTAGTTAGTTAGCGTATCCGAGAGGGTAGTTAGCTATTCATTAGTGTTTTGAGTTCTAGAACGGTTCATTAAATAATCTTAATTAATTTGCTAGATTTATTATTAGTTTATTTCCTGAGAATTTCCCTAAACCTGACGCTTTAATCTATTGATCTTTTCACCTGATATTATTGCTTGCTATTGTTTTTATTTTAATTCTCATAATTTTTTTAGCCTAATTTCGAGACTTATAGCTTATTGTGTGAACAAAAAAACTTTGTGGAATTCGACCCTTAAATGCTGCAATCGATCTCTTATTTGAGAGAGTAGAGTTTAGGATTCAATTATGACACCTATCAATAACCAATCATAAATCCTTTGTTCTGGTATAATATACTTCGATGTTCACATTTCTGGTTCATTCCTAATTCTTTGTTTCGGCCGAGCTAATGTAACTTTTACATCCCTATAAAATAACCATTAAAAACGATAAACACCAACTGACAATATAAAAAAAGGGGTAATAACTAATAAGTTGCACATTACCAAAAATTAAAGAAAATAAGCGAGCAAAAACAAGGGTAACCTAGACATGGAGACACTTTATTTAGGTCATAATGATTAAACCTTATAACTCATAAGTCATGCCAACCTTGAGAAGCTTTGACCTAGGAATCGCAAGTGCTTTGTCTCCTTCCCGACAATTCTTCTTCAAGAAATTGTAAGCATGGTTCACTATAAACTTCTTAAACAAAGAAGAATCTTTTGCCGCGGTAATTTCCGTCTCTCCCATTAGATAAACCATTCCTTTCTCTCTTGCCTTCTCCACCAACTCCGTTTGATCCTCAACAGATTGCACCTGTACGACCCTTCCTGACCTAATCTTGTCCGACGAAGATGAATGCGCGGATCCGATCCGCCCCGATGAAGGGACAGAGTTAGACGAAGGCACAAGTTTTGTCTCCACATTTGGTTCATCTTCTTTGCCAGTCTCGTCCACGTCTCCTCCTCCTTCGGACATGAAGTGCTCGTGATGAATGAATTCCTTTAGGTAATGAACAAAATGGCGCTCGAACTCATCAGGCTCCTCAATGTCTTCTTTGTAACCATACCTCACAACACACCTAAACATTCCTGAATCTTTTTGCCCCACGTAACGGAAAAAGAACCGCTCTGATGACGTCACCCGATTCACGGGAAGTGTCTTGATCGATAGCAAGACAAAAACCGAGTGGACCGACGAAAGATTCGAAATATAATGAGAGAACAATGGAGTTATACCGTTAACAAGCTCCGTGTAGAAAAGACCAATCCCTGGAACCCGGTTTACGTCAGGACTTGTAGCCATTTGTATAGCATTTTCACGAGAAATTTTCTCCTTCAGCTCGTACCTGTACTTGAGGACATGAACATATTGCCAAATCGCCATCATCGCCATCAAAACGACCGTTACCGTAAGTGGTAAATACTGTTGATCCTCAAAATCAAACAAGTACGTATTCGGAATCTTAAGGGTGAAAGAAGAATCTCTTCTTTAAAGAACGAGCCGACAATTACAAAAATAGACGAACTGAATTTTTAGAATACGAGCCGAGCCGCAAAGTGCTCTGACAGTTATACAATATTCTCTGTGAAAACGGTTATCTCGGGATCCCTTTTACAATCATTCCTTTTTACTATTTATAGGGTGCAAAAGTAGGGTACCCTTTACGGGTTAAATCCCCCTTTTACCCCACTTGGTCGGTGTAATACTTACTGGGCTTGGGCCCTTCCGAAACTAAACTCTTAATGGGCCGGACCCTTAAAATCTGATTCTTCGGCCGGTCTCGTCGAGTTGAAGGCCCAAGATGGGATTATGGGCTCGGGCCCATAATCTACCATCAACAGTAGCCCCCCAACCCTAGTGCGTAGCAAACGGCACGGCTAGGGTTGTAATCATTTCATCGCCCCGGTTTGATTTCTTGCGCACGTTTTCGAGGCGCGTGTGATGAACGCCCTCTTCCGATTCGTCTACTGCTGCTCCCGAGGCCTCGATTATCGGGTCGCTTGCGTGTTGAAGGCGGCGAGGTCGTGATGATTACGCCGTTCTTCGAGGTGTGATGATGACGCGGTTTTTCTTCGACCGACTCCCTCTATAAATACTTCGCTTCCTCCTCATTCCTTTCATTCTTTCTCCGCATCGATTTCGAAGGTATTCTCTCTGTTCTCTCTCCTTTTCTCAGCGCGTCTTTTCTTATTTTCCGATTATGTCTTCAAGTGTCGGTTCTTTCGACTCCATCTCCGACCATCGCCGATCTCGTACTTCCGACGAGTCGAATATCCGGTCTGTTGACCGTTTTCTCAACGAATCTGTCAGTAACTCCCGGGGTCGTAGATCTAGAACCTCTTTCAGATCGTCGGCCTCGTCCGTTGCCAGAGATTCTCCGGTTGTTGCAGAGCTACGACGTCGCGAGCTCGAAAGTCGCGTGGGAGCAGCCGGACCGAGTGCAAATCCTAAGTCCGTTACAACCATGTGCCTTCGTGATGACGACAGTGACGCGGCGTCTACAGATGAGGATAACGTACCGCTCATCAGACGCAAATCTTCTATCATTAGAGCGGCTCGTTCTGTTGGCCCGTCGTCTGATGTCGCCGATCGTTTGGACATCATTCCATTGACGAGGCGGGCGCCCGCCCCGGTTGGGTCTGTTCAGCCCGGTGGACCAGCACCGGGAATTCCGGATTACCTTCAACCGACGTCGTCGACGAGCGAGACGATTGAGCTTTCTCTCCATTTTTGCGATGCTCCAGCTTCCCTAAATACGCTCATCCCGAACCGGTGGGATCGTCCCTGGACTGCTCCGCCTGGATATCTTTGTGTATATGAAAAGCTCATCACTGATTGCGGGCTGACTTTCCCAATTCCGGCGTTCTTGCTTCAATACGCTTCGCGGCGAAAAATGGCGTTTGCGCAACTTTCTCCGGCTGCTATTCGGAATGCTTACGGCCTGATTCGTTTGGCTGAGCAGTGCGGCGTCGAACCTCGTTGTTCTCTGTACGAGGAATTGACGACGAAGAAGAATTTCGGGAAATCCAAGCCGGGCTTGGTGTATACTCAGTCTTCGCTGACCCCAAAGTTGGTTGTTGGTGCGAAGAGTAAGACCAACGATTGGCTTCGTTGGTATTTCTTTGTTAAGATCGACAACGATTCCGCTGGGGACGTGGTCGTCACGAATTACCATGGGTGGACTATTTCACCCGGTAGTTTGCTTATCCCTCCGAGGTCGATCCCTTGTTAACTGATTATCTATCTAACTTGCTTTTCTCGTTTCTTTTCCTCTTGTAGTTCGTTGTCCCAAGATCTTGGACCCGTATCCTGAGAAACTTCGCGACGACGTTAAGAAGATTCTAGCTTTGTGCCCGTATACCTGGCCCAACGAAGAAGATCCTGTTCGTCGCCCTTCCTCAAAAACAAAGAAAACGAGCCGAAGAGGAGGTCCTTCGAAAGCAAGGAAGGCTAACAAGACTCCAGGTCGGCCTTGATCTTTCCCTTCTTTCTTTATTCGTTCGATGAGTCCGTACGATTTTTCTTACATTCTTCTCTCCCCTTTCTTTTACATACCAGCTCCTTCAAAGATTATGGGGAAAATGAATGTCGACGCGGTGGGTGATTACTCATCAAGATACAAAAAGAAATCGTCGGTGACGCCGTCGAAGAGGATGAGTCGGGAAGAAGACGAGGCCATGGCCTTAGGGAAACGACTTTCCTTAGCCGAACACGAGGCTAAAGAGAGTGAGCGACGATCTTCAGGTCGTCGGGATAGGAGAGATGAAGGTGACCATCGTGATCGACGCGGTCATGGTGTCGTTGGGGCCGATCGTTCGGAAGCAAGATCCGACGTAGAGAGGGAGAGGAGGGAGAAAGAGGTGGCTGAAGCGCGGTCAGCTAAGCTACCTGTTGCCGAGGCTTCTCACGATGTGCCCTTAGGCGGCAGGGAGGTTATTTTGTACGACAACTCTCAGGTCGAGCCGACCAAGAAGCGGGCTGCTGATGATTCCGAACCGGTGCGTTCGGACCCGACCAAGAAACAAAGGACGGCCTGGGCCCCTGACTATAGGTGGCGATATGATTATAACGGGCGCGACGTCCATATCTCGACTGATTCCACATCCTGTGCGGAGCTATTCCGCAAGCTTCACGTCGGTCCATCTCCCTTCTTTGAGCTCCAAGATATGTGGGAGAGAACGGCGTTCACTGACGCTGCGAAGAAGACCGTTGCGGTAATGCCTTAAGAACTTTTCGCAATACTTTAAGTGTTTTGCTCTCTAACCGAGCTTTTACTTCTTTCTGTAGGCCATCGGCGCGATTGACAGGATGGCGTACATGTACGAGCGTCGTCTCTGCGTTGTTTCTGAGCAGAACACGGCCTCGAAGGATCACCAAAGGGCCTTGGTAGCCGAGACGAGGAGGGCTGATCAGGCGTCGAAGGGCTTGGAGAGTGCCAACTCCGAGGTGCAGCTTCTTCGCGAGGAGGTCGCCAAGCTGAAGGAGGAACGGGATAGCGCTCTTTCAGAACGGGAGCATTGTCTTGAGGAGTTGTCGAAGTCCCGAGTTGACTTTAAGCACTTGGCCGAGCAGTCACAAGCCGAGGAGGCAAGGCTTCGGAAGCGGCGCACCGAATATGCTCGTATTCACGTAACCAAGGCTCTCAAGGAGGCTGCAGACCAATTTCAGCAACGTCTCGACGGGATTCAGAGGCATTTCACTACCAGGGACGCGGCGTATCCCAAGTTCCTCGATTATAATCAGGCGGTTGGGAGCGTCGACCTGCTGAAGGCGCTGGCTGATACTGGGGAGGTCGTCTTAAACTCCAAGGACGTGATTGAGAGGCTTGAAGCTGATGCGGAAGAGCTTAAGAACGAGGTCAATGCGTTCGACATTGCCGAGCTGGAGGAAGGCTGGAATGACGTCGGAAATCTCTTCACGGGCTCTCTCGTTGCTGAGGAGTTTGCGCCTTCGGTTGAAGGTGTTGACGATGAAGTTGCTGGTGACGTCGAGGCCGTCGACCAAGTCGTTGGTGATGGCGACGCCCAGGTCGGAGATCCTCCTCAAGACGAGGCCGCGTCTTGAGTTTTTATGTTGTTTTTTTTTAAGTTATTTGCCGCGTAGTCGGCTTTTGTAAGACTCTTGCCACTTCTGTTGGCTTTTCCTTTATTGAATATCTATTTCATTTATTATCTTTTGCGTATATTGTTGAGTTTGTTCCGCGCAGGTTATTGAGGACGACCTCAAGAACTTGGTCGATAATCGTGTTTGGGTCGGATCCAAGACACTCGGTGGTACAACCTCAAAGGTCGTTCCGCGCAAGTTATTGGGGACGACCTCAATAACTTGGTCGATAATCGTGTTTGGGTCGGATCCAAGACACTCGGTGGTACGACCTTCGAGGTCGTTCCGCGCAAGTTATTGGGGACGACCTCAATAACTTGGTCGATAATTGTGTTTGGGTTGGACCCAGGACAATTTTCGGTGCGACCTCCGGGGTCGGCTTATCCTGTTCGAATGATTAAAACGAGCGTGATTGCGAGTTCGGCCTCGGCTTACGTGATCAGTCGTTTTAATCGTGCGAGTACGGAACTCGGCTTTCGTTCGATTAGACACCGGGCCAGGGTGTTAACGTATTTCGTTTCGTTTCTGTCTTTAAAAAGATAGATTTTATTAATATTTGCAGTTGTGCCTCGTAAACGAGGCTGCCTACGTACCCTCTGATCGGAGGGATCAAGCCGCTCGTAGTTCACATTACATAGTGAGGCATCGGTAAGGCCGAGCTCCCTTTTTTTTTTAATAATAGTATCGCTTCAGATGCATCGAATTCCATGTGCGGGGGACTTCGACGCCGGACATTGTGAGGAGTTCGTAGTCTCCGGGTCGGACGATCTTCGATATCTGATAGGGACCTTTCCAATTCGCGCCTAGCTTCCCCGCGTTGAGTTCGGCCGTGTTTTCGAACACTTTTCTGAGGACGAGGTCGCCTTCGCTAAAATGCCGATTATGGACTTTCTTGTTGTAGTATTTCGCTGCGGCGAGTTGATAATTCTGGATTCGACATAGCGCGGTATTGCGGTTTTCTTCCAGGTCGTCGAGACTGTGCCTCATCATTTCATCGTTGAGATCATTATTCTGTATCATCATGGAACGTCAGAGGCTTGTACACCCTACTTCGGCCGGGGCCATCGCTTCCATTCCGTAGGCTAAGGAAAACGGAGTTTGTTCGGTGGCGCTGCGCGGGGTCGTTCTGTATGACCATAGGACGCCGTCGAGTTCGTCTGCCCAGACTCCTTTTTTGGCTTCCAGCCGTTTCTTGAGTCCGGCGAGGATTGTTTTGTTTGTTGCCTCAGCCTGGCCGTTGCCTTGGGGGTAACGCGGTGTTGACTTGTTCAGACGAATTCTCCAGCTAGCGCAGAAATCTTCGAACTGTTGCGAAATAAACTGCGAGCCGTTGTCCGTGATTATTTCGTACGGTAGGCCGTGCCGACAAATGATGTATTTCCAAACGAAGTTCTGTACCTCTTTGGCTTTGATTGTTGCATAGGATTCAGCTTCGACCCACTTGGTGAAGTAATCAGTCATGACGAGGATGAAGCGTTTTTGCCGCGAAGCTGGAAGTGGACCAACGACGTCCATGGCCCAACGCATGAAAGGGTATGGCGCGGCGCCAGCTTTCATCAGTTCGGTCGGCTGGTGGATGACGGGGGCGTGCCGTTGGCATTGCTCGCACTTGAGCACGTAGTTTTTACAATCCGAGATCATCGTCGGCCAGTAGTAACCGAGCTTTCTGATTTTGAGTGCGAGAGATCGTCCTCCTGAGTGGTTTCCACTTGCTCCCTCGTGTGTTTCTTTCATGACTTCTGCCGCGTCCGCCTTATGGAGGCAGCTGAGCACTGCCCCAGAGGCGTTGTACCGAAGTAAGCATTCGCGGTACAGAGTATATTTTGACGATTTGGCGCGTAGACGCCGTGCTTCCCATTTGTCTACCGGAACCGTCCCATCTGACAGGAAATCGCGTATTTCAAGGCGCCAATCGTCGGGATCGCTTATCGGATCTGGTGCGGCGCGGCTGCACACAAGGTTGATGGATTCGATCCCTTCAATGCTGGGGTGGTCAATGCTTTCGACTGGTATGACGCGGCGAAGGTCTGGGTCGGACGTTGAGGCTAGTGCTGCTAGGGCGTCTGCGGGAGCGTTATCTCCCCGTGGTATCTTGGTTAGCTCAAACTCTGTGAATTGTTTGGACAGACGCTGGACGACCTTGAGGTACGCGTCCATTCTATCATTTCTTGCTTCGTAGTCGCCGCTATATTGACTTGCTACGAGCTGTGAATCGATCATGGCACGGAGTCGTCGGACGTTCATCCCAATTGTGAGTCGGAGTCCAGCGATGAGTGCTTCGTATTCGGCGACGTTGTTTGTCGCCGCGAAACGTAGCCGGAAGGACTGCTCCAACATTTCGCCGGTTGGGGAGACGAGCCTGATGCCGACACCCGATCCATGCGAAGAGGACGAGCCGTCTGAATAGAGGGTCCAAGTACCATTCGTCTGATTGGTGCTTAGTGTGGTGTCGTCCGGGTCCATTACTGGTAACTCGACGATGAAGTCGGCGAGGACTTGAGATTTCATGGCTGGTCGAGCCCGGAAGTCGATATCGTATTCACTGAGTTCGACGGCCCACTTGGTCATCCTTCCAGACAAGCTTGGACTGTGTAACGCCGCTTTGATAGGTTGGTTTGTAAGCGAGACCACGGTATGAGACTGGAAGTAGGGACGCAACTTCCTCGCCGACGTAACGACTGCTAACGCAGCTTTTTCCATTGTAGGATAGCGGACCTCGGCCTCGATTAGCGATTTACTTACATAGAAGATTGGTCTCTGTTCGCCGCGGTCGTCTCGTACTAATACCCCGCTGACGGCCCAACTGGATACAGCTATGTATAAGAATAAAGTTTCACCTTTCTCAGGTTTTGCGAGTACCGGTGGCGTCGTCAGATATTTCTTAAGTTCGACGAACGCTTTCTCGCTTGCGTCATCCCAGGTAAACTTGTCTCTTCGCTTTAGGAGGTTGTAAAACGGCAAACATTTGTCCGTCGACCTCGAGATGAATCGATTGAGGGCCGCGATCCGGCCGGTCAACCGTTGTACTTCCTTGGCGTTCCTGGGAGAGGGTAACTCCAGTATAGCGCGAATTTGTTTTGGGTTGGCTTCTATCCCTCTCTTGGTGACGACGTAACCCAGGAACTCACCGGAAGTTACCGCAAACGTACATTTGGCCGGGTTTAACTTCATTTGGTATTTGTTTAGCACGTCGAAGCATTGTCGGAGGTCTGAACGTGATCGTCAGCTTTCAATGACTTAACGAGCATGTCGTCGATGTAGACTTCAACAGTTCGGCCGAGCTGTTCGGCGAACATTTTGTTGACGAGGCGCTGATACGTTGCTCCGGCGTTCTTCAGACCAAAATGCATCACCTTGTAGCAGTACGTTCCGCGATCGGTGATGAAGGACGTCTTTTCCTGATCGTCCTTATGCATGAGAATTTGGTTGTATCCAGAGAAAGCGTCCATGAACGATAGGTTCTCGTTCCCTGCTGTGGCTTCGACGAGCCGGTCGATATGCGGTAAAGGGTAGCTGTCTTTTGGACAAGCCTTATTCAGATCAGTGAAGTCGACGCACACCCGCCACTTACCGTTTTTCTTTTTGACTACGACGGGATTTGCCAACCACTATGGATATCGGACTTCGATGATGGAGCCGGCGCCTAGCAGCTTTTCTACCTCGTCATTTACTGCTTTGGCTCGTTCCGGACCCAATTTGCGTCTTTTCTGCTTAACAGGTTTGAATGTCGGATCCACGCCTAGCTCGTGGGACGTTATCGATGGGTCGATTCCCGGCATGTCCTCAACGCTCCAAGCGAAGGTTGACGAATTCTCTATGAAGAGGGCCACAAGGGCCGCTTTGATTTCTGGACTAATTTCAGCTCCGATGCCGACGCATCGCAGTGGATCCGACGCGTCGATATTCACAAGTTCCGTCCGACTTAGCTCCGATTCCTCGTAGGATTTGCCCGGTGCCTTTGCTACTGCGGAGCGGGGCGTGGGCTCCTCCTTTGGTTGCTATAATTTCTTTTCGGCGCGGTTCTTGTGTTCGATCAGGAAACACGTCCGCGCTACTTGCTGATTTCCTTTGAGAGTAAAGATTCCCTGATGAGTGGGAAACTTGACGCACTGCTGGTAGGTGGACGCGACGGCCTGCATTTGATGAAGCCACGGCGTCCCCAAGATTACATTGTATATCGTCGGTTTATCGATGACAACGAACTTAACCCAGGCGATCGTACCGCCAACAAACGTGGGTAGTTTGATAGTGCCGAGAGACATGATGAAATCGCCATCGAACCCAGCCAATGGTCGAGAACGCGGCTTTATACACCGGTCAGCTACGTTCATCGCGGTGAGGGTGTCTTTGAAGATTAGGTCGACTGAGCTGCCTGTATCGATCATGACGCGCGTAACTCGGCTATCGCTGACGATTAGCTCGACAACCAACGGATCGTTGTGGGGGAGATCGACTCCGACGAGGTCGTCTTTCGTGAAAGAAATGGGTTCGATCTCCACGGAAGGTTGGCTCGGCGTTACTGGCCACGTCTCCATCATTTCGGCTTTCTTTCGACACTGCTTGATTGAACGGACCGAATCGTTGCAATTTTGAAGACCGCCCATGATCATATGGATTTGTCGAACGACAGCGGGGGCGTCGGCGACAGCTTTGCCATGGCGTTGTCTTTTGGCCGAATCGTTTGCTTGATCGTCGCCTCCAGCTGCTCCGTCGGCTCGATCCTGGAGGAATTGCCGAGCAGTGGCCTCGTTTCGTTTTTGGTTTTTATTGCCCCCTTGGGCTCGGTCACATTCGATGGTGATGCCGCCGCTCTTATACTTAGCCATGAGGAGTCCTTGCAGGTAGCGACAGTCTTCCGTCGCGTGAGCCTTGCTTTTATGATACTCGCAATACACCGGCCCTGTAGTAATGGCCTCGGTATCTCTTGCTCATTTGTTCCATTGTTTGGGCGCCGTGTCTTCACTATTAATGACGAACGTGGCCGGCTTTCTACCTTGGCTCGTATTGCGGTCGAGGTGCTGTCTTGGCTCCGCAGGTTTTACCACAGGAGCTTCTTTCGGCGCCGATGCCTTTGTTACTACGTGCTTTCGTGACAGAATGAGCCGTTCCTCCTCTAATTCGATGTACCTCGTTGCTCTATGAAGTGCGTCCTCGAGCGTGTTCGGGACATGGAGCGTGATATCATCCCTAAACTTAGAGTCGTACCACATCGCGTTGCGCAGAGCTACGATTGCGGCTTCATCTGGGACGACGATCCGGGTAATGACGTCCTTGAAACGGTCGATAAATAACCGGAGCGACTCCGTGGGTCCTTGCGCAAGGGACTACAGGTCGGCATTGGTCGTCTGGTTCTGTATGAGCGGCGAGTAATGCTTGAGAAACGTTACGGACAGTTCACGATAACTGCTGATTGAGTTCGGCTTAAGTCTTGAGAACCAGTTGAGGGCGGCACCGGTTAGATGCTCGGTGAAAATCTGGCATTGTCCTGCTTCGAAGTTCTCGTCGGTTAGTTCGGCTCGGTTGATCGCGATGCCGAATGATGTTAGGAATTCTTTTGGATCGCCCTTTCCGTTATAGGGCTCGAGCTTTATCTTTTGGCGCCCTCGGAGTGAGACGCTGGTTATTCTTCGAGTGAAAGGAGTTTGCTGTGTTTCTTCAAGGACGCGGTCGAGTTCCGGTGCGGCACTTGTGGCCTTATGAACCTTTGTGTTCATTTCCTGGACAATGCGTCGTAGTTCGGCGAGCTCTAGGTCTCGGGTATTTTCGCTTGACGAAGTGACAGGATGGATTTGCCGGGTCGGCACTTGGTTTCCTTGAGCGGGTCGCACACCTTGCATCTGACTTGCGCTTAGGCGATTGATTTCATCCTGAGCGCAAGCATGGGCTGCTGCCAGAGATTCAAGTCGCACGCTCGTCCTGGCTTCTTGCTGGCTCAGGTGCGTGAGGATGTTTTGAAGCAGGTCGTCCGGTTCGCTGCGGTCCTGACTTCTTTGGTTCGTCCCGGCCCTAGTGTTAACATGTGGGTTCGTCGTGTTACGTCCGTTCGAGGGAGTTATCTGAGCATCAGGACGTGGTGCAGGGTGCGGTCCGATAGCTGCCGCGGTAGGTCCTTCCGGCGTCGGAGGTAGCGAAGGCGGTGCGGCTGCGGGCGTGCATGCTTCTCCTCCCGAGCTGGAGGCACTTGCGCCGAGTGCGTTTTGGAACGCGTCTGTCATCTTTGCTGTTTCGTCGGTTCGTAGTTTTGAGAGAAATCTTCGAGCTTCTCCCCTACCTGGCGCGCCAACTGTTGATCCTCAAAATCAAACAAGTACGTATTCGGAATCTTAAGGGTGAAAGAAGAATCTCTTCTTTAAAGAACGAGCCGACAATTACAAAAATAGATGAACTGAACGAGCCGAGCCGACAATTACAAAAATAGATGAACGAGCCGAGCCGCAAAGTGCTCTGACAGTTGTACAATATTCTTTGTGAAAACGGTTATCTCGGGATCCCTTTTACAATCATTCCTTTTTACTATTTATAGGGTGCAAAAGTAGGGTACCCTTTACGGGTTAAATCCCCCTTTTACCCCTCTTGGTCGGTGTAATACTTACTGGGCTTGGGCCCTTCCGAAACTAAACTCTTAATGGGCCGGACCCTTAAAATCTGATTCTTCGGCCCGTCTCGTCGAGTTGAAGGCCCAAGATGGGATTATGGGCTCGGGCCCATAATCTACCATCAACAAATACCCACCGCTTGTAAACTTGTACATGACCGACGATAGGTATAACATCTCTATGGAGCCAAAGACGATTAAGAAGATAACAATCCACACTATGTTCGTCTTCCAGATAACCAACATTATGAGAGTCACCATTGAGGTTGTGATGACCATGACGGTTACAACGGCGATCCCATAAGCGTGGCCAATCTTCTCAGTGGTTCTGAAAGCGACGGTAACAGCGATGCATGCAAGCATGAGTAAGTAGTTGATCTCCGGGATATAGACTTGTCCCTCGTACTTAGCCGAGGTGTGAACCACTTTCACTCGAGGGAAACAACCCATACGTAGAGATTGCGAGATGACTGAAAAGGCTCCTGATATCATAGCTTGGCTCGCGATGATCGATGCTGCCACCGCCACAACAAATGTTGGCCAGTATAACGGATCTGTTAAAAAGAATTATGTGTTATTGCACATTAATATTAACTAGGGCTCGAATACGTTATTAACAGTTACATTTATTTTTGGCCAGTATAATATTTAAGAACATTTAACCATGTTTTATTTAATGATTAAACTAACCAGGGATTGAGTCGTAGAAAGTATTGGACACATTGGAAGTATGTTTAGTAAGGTACGCAGCCTGCCCGCAATATATTGTTACTAACGCCGGATATGCGACACATGAGAAACTAATCTGCGACATTATTTTAGGCAAAATTGTGTTAGTGAATTAAAAATAAAACTACTTATATATCAGTATGTTTAATCTCCTCTAGGGGATGTAAATTATAAAAGTAACCTGTACGGCTTGAACACTAAAATGACCTAGATCAGCAAACATGGCCTCCGTTCCTAAATTCAACAAATTACATTTCAATCAATAATAAGGTAAATTTGATAATGTCGGATTAAAATATAAGACAAAATATTATGGAATATATTTGGACTCTCACCAGTGATGCAAAGGAAAACACCTCCGAGGGAAATCCAACCTTTTCGACCAGTTCTTCTAAAGTAGTAAATGATATAGAGTGGATTAAGTGCCTTTAAGACGGTAATGTCATGCTTGAACAGATTAAAAAGACCGATTCCGATCAGAAATGTGAACCATACGAGGATGATCGGAGCGAATGAGAATCCGACTTTATCGGTTCCAAACTGCTGAAATGCGAATAGAACAATCAAGATTGCAACCGAAACACCCACAACTGTGTCTGCACATTTAGTGATCAAGTCAAATGCCATTAGATCACGTTTACTTACGTTACATTTTTGCATATATCAGATTAATAAACGAGGAGATGAATGTGTTGAGTTTACCTTGGCCGAGAGATTTGATTCCACTTACTGCTGAAAGTACTGGATCAAATAAGATAAAACAAAAAACATACAATTTGTTAGTACGAATGTCATCAAATACAAATGTTTATAGAGAGAAGTTCATCTAGAAAATTGTTTTGGAGCTATGACTGTCTTTTAGCATGTGAAATTGTAACACGTGAACAAAACCCAATTTAAAAGTTTAAATATGCATAAAAATTGAAGTATATAATTCTGAGAAAGATAAAGTTAACACAGCAAATATACCATTATGACAAAAAAAAAATTCAAAAAAGTCTATAAATAGTTAATTTTACACAGCCCCCGGTTATACCTCATGGTTAATAGTATTCTTAAGTTGATTGGTTAGGTACCTGAAATGGAAGGAGTAAGGATGCCATCACCAATGACCATGGAAGTTCCCATAATAGTGACGAGGAAGAGTATAATCTTAGCGAATTTAGAACTCTCGAGCTTCTCTTTGATCATATGGGCTCTTTTGAGCTGTGTGGTTGGAAGTTGAAGTGTATAGTTGGAGAGTTCTGTATCTTCTGGTTCTTGGTTTGGAATTAGTCCCATTTTCGCATACCGACATATCAGCGAGTACAAAGCAAATGTTCCTCCTGCGTTTAAATATTGTACATACGCAACTTTTCTAATTAATTAACTAATCAACCAAAAAAACTTTATAAACACTACATGGATATATTTATTATTTACCAACTTGGAGAATATAAGTCTTATAAGCTCTTTTCTATATGAAAATATATCACCAGATCAATGTCATAGTTCTAGTTTTTATTTATTTTAATATAGATAAAAGAATTACACTTCAAAGTTTAATATGAAAAATTAGAAATTGAGAATTTTATTGAATTAATAGAAAATCACGTTCAAAGATTTTATATATAATATACAATACAATTGTATTCAAAATAAATCCTTCGATTTTGACATTTTCAAATCATAGAACAAACTTATATATATGAGGTTCAAAGTAACAAAAAATAAGTTTACATAACTCTATTATTATTTCAGTGTATATACTGAATGTTTTATAATATCTTATCTAGCTAAAAGTATAATTAATAACATATTTATTTCAATTATTTTTATTTTTGAAATACTGTAATTGTTCACACGTGAAATAAATGAATGAGAAAACTAAGAATAATGCCACACACTTTATAAAAACTTATCTAAAATGCCACTTTGACTTTCTTCTTTCCTGGGATGCCATATCAACACTTAAAAAGACTTAACTATCCTTCACTAAAAGCCACATTCTTTTTTTTCTCTCATTTTTTTTCTTTGTTCTCTCTCTTCTCCTATCCTTCTTCTCTCGATCTCTTTTCTCTCTCTCTCACCTTCTTTCCTCTCTCTCTCCAACGACAACAAAGAAAGCCTTCCGAGATTCTATGATTTGGAAAAATCATGGAGTACTCGACATCTTTCACAACTAACTCACCAAAAACTTAATCGTTTTAGCCGGTTTCAACAACTTCTTTCAATGATTTTTCTGGCGAGTTACCAAACACGTCTTTTTTTCGGAGCTTCCATTCTCTAATCTCGCTTCTAACAAAAGCTTTTACATTTCTAACGGAATCTCATTCAGATCCGATTCCATGAGATCTAGAACAGGTTCATGGACATTATTTTGAAAATTTTGTGGACAACATTTATCATCACAACAATTTGTGGTAGACAATATGACAAATTCACACATCTTGTCTACCGTTTCCTTGTGATTTATTTTGTCCATTCAACATTAAATTATGTGATCTCGATCTCAAAATTTTAGTGGACAAATTAACATTCAGTGGACAACTTAAATTTTATGCCTAATTTGTTAAATCAATTTAGGTATACAAATTATTGTAGACAATATTTTTTGAGGAATTTTCGGCAACCTTTGCTATCTTGTAAGTTCAATGGCTCATTTTTTTAAAAATATGTTGATTAAATGAATTTTGTATGGATATATGGTTTTGAATTCTGTTGATTTCAATGTGGATATGAAATTAAATATTCTTGTCCACTAAATTTTTGTGAAATATGTAGCATTGAATGTGGATAACGATTCTTGTCCGTCAAATTTTTTCGAAATCTATTGATTCAAAATCTTGTCCACTAATTTGTTTAGTAGACAACAATTTTTGTCTATCATTTTCTCACTTGTTTAGTATAGGAGTAATTTCGTCAGTTCAAACCACAATAATTCAAAATTATGGTAATTTCAAAAAGAAATTTTTTTTATGGCATTTCTTGTAAGTTTTTTGGTCAAAGTGGCATTTTTGACCAAATTCCCTAAATGAATCATATTAATTCCATTCAATCATATGGTTCGGTATGTATAACTTTGTCATGATGACTATTGACACTATCTATAATATCTTTTAGTATGTTTTAATGTCTAGTTCATAATATAAACCACGTAAACAAAGTTTTGTAATATTTTTAACCTAGGGGGTACAAATGAAAAATATTACTAGTACTAACATCTCACATCACATGTGAATCAACATGTAAAAATAGTTCAACGTCGAAACTCGTTCGAACTCTTGACTTCTGAGCATATGCCAAAATATCAAGAAGACTTTAAGGACTCGCGTTACTTAGAAATCAAGACTTGTTTTTACGTTTATTGGATTGCGTAAATCACGTCACTTGATAATTATATACTCCTTCTGTATGATAAAGAATGATTTTTGAGGTTTTATTTTTGTATCAAAAATATCAAAAAAAATGATTTTCTTTAAATTTTTATCAATTAATGTTATGAAAAATAATTTGGTATGAATAAATAGTTATTTATAACTAAACTGTTAAAAACTCTATAAAATTAATATTTTTGATACAGAGGGTAAAATGGTCAACATGCACATCGTACCAAATGTTCATCGGCAGGACGTGCGTCACAAAATAAAGAAGTCAACAGTATTAATTTTGTTTATTAATGTAGCTATATGACAAAAAAAAAAAAAAAAAAAAAAAAAAAAAAAAAAAAAAAAAAACTAGTGAAGTTTTGATTCTCGATTAACTTCATTATAGTAGATCTACTAAATTATAATGCGGATCCAATAAAAGCGCGACCATCGTGTGTGTGTGTATTTCCTTCGGTAGTTTTAAGTTAGAACTTAGAACTTATAACATTACTATAAAATATTTTAATTTCATCAATCTTAATCACATAGCTATATATGATAAGTCTACAATTTATTCCATCAACCATCAATCATAATTGATTCATTATTTAGAGAATAAGAAAAGGTTAGACATTTCATTTTTTTCTTTCTCTTTTTTATTTTTTTTCTTTCTTTCTAAAATGAATTATATCATTTATATATACAAACATTAATCGTAGTTTATATATTTACTAGTGTTATGGCCCCTGCTATGCAGGAGCATATGCTATTGTTAAAAATTTAGTGATTTTTGTTAATTTTAAAGGATTTAGAAATAAGATTTAGAAAATTAATTGGAAGATCTGGAATAAGTTGCAAATCCCATCCTTTTATAATATGAGACAAACGATACATGATGGTTTGAAGAAATTAGTGGATGAAAGTGGGAAGTTAATTTGATTATGGTTGAAAAGAAAGAAGAGTGGGATCGTGGATTCGTGGTTTCATTTAAAACAATTTGTAGTTAAAAAAAAAATCAGTTTTCGACAGATAAAAAAAGGATTAAAGGAAAAATAACTAAAATATATTTTTTTTTTAACTTTTACAGAGAAAAAAAAAAAAAATTTCCCTTTTTAAAATTGTAGATGACACATGTCACTCTGAGAATTGCCGACTGACTTCTCTTTTATATAATAAAGGATTTAAAAAAAAAATCAGTTTTCGACAGATAAAAAAAGGATTAAAGGAAAAATAACTAAAATATATATATTTTTTTAACTTTTGCAGAGAAAAGAAAAAATAAATTTCCCTTTTTAAAATTGTAGATGACACATGTCACTCTGAGAATTGCCGACTGACTTCTCTTTTATATAATAAAGGATGTATCATTCCCAATCTTAGGCGATACAATGAACATCTTTCTATTTACAAAGAATTTCACTGTACATGTGAAACAGATATTAGAATTATTTATTGATTAGAGAGAAAATTAATCTATCTTATTTAAAAAAACAATATTGTAGAAAATTTAATTTGTGAAAAACTCATAATATGAGAATTATAACAAACTATCAACTGTCTAGAAAGCGAAAAAGGGATACCTTCACCATTATCGTTAGCCTGAAGAACAATGAAAACGTATTTGAGGAGTGCGACGAGAGTAATCGTGTAGATGATGAGCGAGAGAACACCAATGACATCATTTTTGTCATTGATGCCTTCAGTGAAAGTACTTGCATACACATACAACGGTGATGTCCCGATGTCTCCATACACCACTCCTAGGCTCTGAAATGCCAAACTCATCGTCGTTGTCCAGCTCATCTATTTCATACATGATATCTCACAATCATCAAATTTTATATTCATGATCATCTTCTTAACAAACACAAAATATTTAGTTACATACCAATGAGGGACGCCCGGTATTTGTTGGAGTTTGTCCGGCCTCTATGCTGAAAGAGTCGGGTCGATATAGTTTTCCCCATGATTTCTGATAAATAACCAAATATTTAACAACAAAAGTTTTAAGAAATATGACTTTGATGACTACGTAAACACAATAACTTGTACAAATATATGGTTGAGATTTGATAATTTCCAATCTAGTATTACTACAATAACTACTTAATTCACTCTTTTGTAATATTTCCCAAGCTGGTGCATGCTTCTGATTTTTTCTTAGTAGCAAGAAAATAACTTATGTTTGTAACTCGACCAATACCTCTTACGAAAAAAACAGATGATTGTATGAATTCAAACAACATAAGAGAATTAAACTAAATACATGTATATATACTTATCTATGAACAAATATTAACTTTTAGAAGTAGATAGAATTGAAGAAAGATGAGAGATGATATCTAAAAAGTGGAATAAAATCATACCTTTTTTTCATTCAACTTGTTCTCATGGTTATTAACTTCATCACCATCTATTTGCTGTTCCTCACCATCCATTTTTTGTTGTTGTGATTTTGTGACAAGTGAGAGAGATGGGCTAATTAGTTGTGTTTTTAACTGTTCTTTTTCCAGTGGTCTTTATAGGCGTAATAATAGTAAGCTGACTTGTGTTTAAACAAACACCCAAAAAACTCAACCAGTGTGTGGAAATAGAGTTATTTAATGTGGTAGGGACGCGTCTCAAACACGTATTGCCGGCTGTTGAAACTCTTAAACTAGTATTTAAATCTACATCAAAATTTAATGCAAAAATGTTTTGGGAAATGAACTACCTAAAGAGTCGGAATATTCCTTGGTTAATACGTAGAACATCTTCCGAATCTTTTTTCCGACGTAGTCTGAGAATGATTACAAAACTAATAGATTTATGTAGTAGCTAGGTCTCTTGAAGAATTCTAAAGGTTAGTCTATAGTTACGAAAATTTGGGACGGATACGAGTCTAGTCGGGAAAATCAAATAGAGATACCTAGGTGATCTTCACTTGGAAGGAATGGTTCACGTCTTAATAGGTATTATTAAAGGTTGATCCCGAATCTTTAATAAAAATGTTCAAAACTTTCTTGTTACAAATAAAAATAAACATGTATCCTGAATAGTTCTAAAAATTAGTATGCAATATATAGGTTTTCGATAGGATTGTCCATTTAAGATATCTGGACAAAACAATATTGATAAGGGTGTATAACGGATAGTTTGAAGTTTGAAATCCAAGTCGTTCACATGTGTATGTGAACGGATACATCTACTGGGTCATACGGTGCGGGTTCTATCTGGACCTTCATCAACCGTAATTAGGTCACCATTCAAACAATTAGATGAGTTTGTGTCATTATGTGCATTGGTGAGTTTTTACTTGTTAAAAAAAATAAAATAATGTATGAGACGGTTCATATATATCCAATATTTTTACGCATTGAATAAATGATGTAAAATACTTCTTCCGTCCCAAGAAGATAGATTTTTTAGAAATTTCACATTCTTTAAGAAATAATGTATAATGACAATTTTAATCTTTAAACATTTTAACATATTTTAAAGAGTATATTATTTATTGTTGTTTAATAAGGATAAAATAGGTAAACTGTTTTATATTTTACGTTAGAAACACAAAACTTCTATTTTCGTGGGACAAAATTTTTTTCTAAAAGATCTATCTTCATGGGATGGAGGGATACTTGATTTTTTCTAAAAAAAAATTTTTTAAACTATCATATAATTTTATTATACTGGCCGATATAATTTTATTAGGGAAAAAAAATATTTGGGTTCATACTAAGTACTACTAACTAATCTTGTTCTGTTTGCGCTAATGAGTCGCTTGTTTTGCATCGTCTATTCTACTGTCTCTTGCGGATCGTCACTCCTAAAACATCTCTATCGACTCTTTTCTCGAGTCAATTTCCCCTCACCAATTGTATTGTTGCCTTCTAATTGATCTATATAAAATTACGTATTATTGAGGGTTATTTTATTTGTTGGCATTATTAAGGGTAAAACTTGTATATTTTCTTTTATCTCATGTCAGCTTTGCTAATTCAATGGCTTGTTACCAAATATATTCCCTTTCTCCACACAATTACTTCAACGGTACTATCTTGTATATTTTAAGTTCCTAGAGAATATATTGACTTACTAGCGTTACATTAATAATACATTTTAGAAGTGTTCAAAATAATAATGTTATTGGAATCTATTAATTGACACATGTCTAGCAACGGCAAACTACAAAATAAGATATCGCATGATTCATCTTTGATAGCCATTTTTCACTACGTCTTCAATATTTTAACTTTTCCAATCAAATCACAATGAGCGTTGACTTATCTAATTCTTCATCTCTTTATTATCTCAAACCGAAAAACATCAAAGTTTGACATAGTGCTTGAAACTAGCAAGTCCAACAGCGAAATAAGGAAAATACATACATATAGTTCACAATGCCCATCATTTAGCGATGTTTTGTCGATGCAGATCATAGGATATTTCACACGAGGCAGTTACATTATTAGCCTACTGCAAGAACTCCCTTGGGTCAGCGACATGGCCGGTTAAAGCCGAGGCTGCAGCTGTGTAAGGAGAAGCTAAGTAAATCTGCCCTTCTTTGTGTCCCATCCGACCGGGGAAATTCCTGTTCGTCGTTGAGACACACACCTGTAACAAACATTTTAAAACACATGTCTCTGTTAGTCTCACTACATATAAACCTCCACATTTACCATCTACTAGATAAGAGTTCTCAGTGGTATAAGTAAAAATTTTAACAAACTTTCATAATGGAAGAAATTATTTTCGGCTTTTTTCTACTGGACAAGTAATGGCGACAAAATATGCATCTATGCCACCACAATATTGAATATGAATCATTGAATCGCAACTACATGACGCCAAATCAGATAATTCAAGTGGATAAACCATATGTATAAATCCAGGGGAAAGGATATAGCGATTAGTTTTTTTTCTTTTTGTCGTGATTCAGCATTTATAGAGTTAATGATTTACTCATTTTCAAAAATAGTTGAAGTGCAGATAATTGGATAAGTAGGATAAAAAACGGATACGTACCTGAGGTTCATTCAAGCGAGCGTAGGTGTCTGCTGGGCCACCAAGGCAAGCACCACAGCTAGGACTGGCTGGAGTGTCACATCCAGCTTCTTCAAAGATCTGCGCACATGTCTTTCCACCTGATCCAGGCACCGGGAGAGCGTACACATCCATCCACACCTGAAAAGATGACCAGATAGATACAATGCACTTGGTATTTGTATTCTTTAATTAAACCACTTGAGATAGTAACAATGTCGAAATATAATGCTAACCTTCTGAGTAGCAGGGACAAGGAAAGTTGGGACTTTGACCTTTCTTCCCTGAAAATACACAATCAGATTTTCCATGAGATTAAACGGCAAACAAATCGAGATTATAGAGAAGAGAAAAGAACCTTAGACAAAGAATCAAATAAGATTTCCTAATGTCAGACAACATGCCAGCAAAACTGACTCAACCAGACAAACCAAACACATAACTATGCTTGCCCTAGAAAACAATTAAGAAAACAATCGCTAAAAAATTTAAACAGTTTCCATTTGATGAAGTCTTTAGCTTCAGATCATAAACAATAACAAGATAACAGATCCTTTTGCAAGATTGAAGATTGTAGTTTCTTGCCCAAAATCAAGTAAAACGGAGCTAGGCATGATTACTAAGATACAGACAAGAAGTGGAACTTACTGCTGCGTGGAAAAGTTTAGCTGCAGCCATAAAGTCCTCTGTCTTCCCACCAGTACAAGAACCAATGTATACTCTGTCAATTTTCACATCTTTGCATTCTCTTGCTAGAGCCCGATTGTCAGGAGAATGAGGCTGACAAAAAAAATAACAATAACAAAAAAAAATTAGTAACATAATGGGGCAGAAATAACTCAAGTGTTTAAATTGGTTATCGTAAACCCACCTTAGCCACCACAGGCTCTAGCTTTGACACGTCAAATCTATAATCTGCGACAAAGCTATGGAAGAAAACAACAAAGAAAAAAACATAATTACAAAAGGAAAGGTTAACCAACAGAGAGATAACCACAGAGGGCAATCAGCAACCAAAAATTGCTCCCAAACAAAAGACAAAATTTGTACTTAAAGAGAGAGAGAGAGAGAGACTATTCTATCAAGTTGTATTACTCATATGAAGAGTAGGTTCGAAACATGTTGTGTTACATATAAGAGTACTGAGGTATTTCCAGATGCACTAAAAATTCATATAGTAATACCAGCAGTCCATATTTACTCTGCCCACTGTTTAGAAATTCTAGGGTACCATGTGTCGTACCTTGCATTGCCATCACTATATACTGGCTCAAATGGTACAGATGTCCTATTCTGCAGAAGATATAAGAAGAGGAGTATACATACATCAACACAATGCTCCTTGAAAAAACACATGATTTACAAGAAAACAAGACAATATACATACCTCAACATAATTTAATGTCGTCGCATCAGGAGGGATGACACCATTCTTTCCCCCAGCTTCCACAACCATGTTGCACAATGTCATTCTTTCTTCCATCTAGCAGCCAAAAAAAATTGAAACAACGGATTATAAATCAAAGAAAACATCATATGCCAGCTATTATTTTTTATTCCCATAGGAGAAGGGACCCATAATGTAGGAAACACAGAATAATTTCTTACACTCAAACTTTCGATAGTTGTACCACTGAACTCCATCGTTTTGTAAGTTGCACCAGCAACAGATATTTCACCAATGATCTACAAAATTGGAAGCAAGTTCAAGATCGAGATGAAGGACGCCAGATAGAATCCCAAAAGAGTAACCACTAAATAAATAAACCATCAATTTAGAGAATTCACAGTAATATGACTAGAACACATCAAACAGCGTAATGAACAGACATGACTAGAACACATTAAAAGGTGTAATGTGCCTCATACTACTGTCAACAATGATATGTGAAGGATTTCAGTAGCTGGAAAAGGAAATAAATGCTGTAAAACATATCACACTCACTTGCAAAATCAGATCCTTTGCTTGTAAATAACTGGGCATTTCACCATCCAAGATAAACCTCATTGTTGGTGGAACCTGCAAAGTCAGGAATCAGGATATCAGCTTCAGAAACTACAGTATAAATTGGAGAGGGGAAAGGAAACTACTCTAGCAAGCCTTTTTCAAGTTGAAACAGGCACCATTGATTTCCATTTAAAACAATGAACAAAACTATAGCATAGAGAATCAAAGGAATCAGCTATTATACAAACCTTAAGGAGGATTTTTCCAGTGCCTAACACAAAGCCTGCATCAGTGTTTCCAATCCCTGTAGCAAATTGACCAAATGCTCCAGCAGTACAAGTATGTGAGTCTGTTCCTAACAAAACCTATAATAGAGAAACACATCATTTAGAACAGAATCAAACAAAGCCAGATTCTATTAGAAGAAAGCCAATCATATCCAGTGAAAAAGATTGTTACCTCTCCTGGCCTGCAATGACCTTCTTGTGCAAGTGCGACATGGCAAACACCTTTGTAGTCAGGATTAGCCTACATATGACGGTAAAAAAAATAGGCATTAAACTTCATCCGAATGCAAGCGAAACAGAATCAATTCAAATATGCAAATCACAATTCCGTAACACCATTCAAAAATTTGAAACCATCATACCTTAAAATTTCCAAGGTCAGTGATATCATAAAAGTACTTGATATTCTGCTCCCTGCAATGCTCCCGCATGATGTCAACATTCCGGTTCGCACGCTTATCAGCTGTGAAAATATAGTGATCCGGAATAACCACAATCTTCTCCGGATCCCAAACCTACAACGCGTAAGTAAACAATCACAATCAGTTACACAAGCAACATAGTATAACCACCAATTCACCAATACCTAAACTAAACCTATCAAAATCTCATCTTAATTTGAATGAAGAAGAAGCATAATATGTACCTTAGCTTTATCACCAAACTCTCTCTTGAAGATACCAAAAGCACCAGGGCCACAAACATCATGAGTCATAAGAACATCAACATTAACCCAAATGTTATCACCAGGAACCACTAATGACTTCTCAGAAGCTCTAGCTAAAATCTTCTCCGTCATCGTCATCCCAGTTTTCACCTGAAAAAAATCCAACACATAAACCATATCAGAAGAAGAAAATCAAACGAGAGAAGAAGAAGAAGAAGAAGAAGATCGATACCGATCCTGTAGTTCCTGGAGACCGATCCTTCTGCGGAGCCATAACGGAAACAATCGATTTCCTCTGACATCGATGAATCGAAATCTGCGACGATTTAGGAAACGAAGAAATCCCTAAATCCTTCTGCGAAATTTGAAAAAGGTATAAGAAATCGAGAAAATGTGAAAACGAGAGAGAAAGAGAAGGGGAAATGGAATTGAAACCTTGGAGGATGATGATTTGCAGAGGAAGGTAGAGGAGGAGATTACAGATGAAGCAGCCATTGTTTCGTCTTCGTCTTCGTCTTCGTCTTCGTCTTCTTCTTTAGGTCTGTGTGTGTGCGGAGGTGGGAAAGAGATTTTGTCTGAGGCGTGTGTTTTGTTAAACCTAAAGGGTTAATAATTCGTTTTTCTATAGTAGACAAACGCTTGACTTATTTGGGATTAGAGTCTATAGGTAGGTGACAAAAAAAAAAAAAGAAAAAAAAAATTGTCATTAGGTTGGTACCATTAAAAGTTTAATAATCACGTGATACTTGTCATTATAAGTAATTTTTTTTTTTTTTCGTGATACTTGTCTTTATAAGTAACTTTTTTTTTTGTGGGTGTTAAAAAAAAAAAAATTTCATAATAACACAAAAAATTGTTAGTTTCAACCTACCAAAAAAAAAAATTGTTAGTTTCAAACTTAAAACACTTATCCTATGAAAAAAAAAAGAAGCTTAAAATTTAAAACACATATCTTGGAGTCATGGAACAATAGAACGAATTTAGTTATGTGATAATGTCTACTCACATATATAGTTGAAATTATTTTAGGGAGGCTAAAGCCTAAAGGTTTTTAATTAAGAACTCAAAATGAAATACAGTAAGCAAAACATACAAAATATTTTTACTGTGATTTCAATCATACTTGATTTTGTTTTTTTTTTCCACCGATCTTTATTATTAGTTTACATTTCAGCCAACATAAAACAACGAATAGTAATACATATATGACAATAGTACGATTCGATTTGCAGGGTTTTGATCCAAGCTTTGTTTTTTTTCAAGGAAACTTTTATTTATAATATAAAAACAGGGAACAATCTAAATAGACTAATACACATAGTACTGTATATGAAAAATATGACAATATATAATACAACTCAATTTGCTAGAATTTGAACCAAGGTTTGGTCTTTTTTTTTTTTCCTCTAACCAAGGTTTGGTTTGTTCCTCTGAGAGTTTGAAAACATTACGTTACTATATTTTTAGTACATATTTGGAGATTTTTTTTTTTTTTTTTTTTTTAAAACACTATAACTGATAGTAAGTTTTAGGCTATAATTTGTTTTTTTTTTTCCCAACAATATTGGATTTGCACCACTATTACTGATAGGATCGGTGCAATAATCCAATGTTCAATGCACTTTGATGCTATAAAGCTAGTTAGATTGTGTGTCGAAGCTGATATATATATATATCAAGATTGATGACGTCATCATAAAGCTTTTTTGTGATTATGTATAGTTGTAGTATTATGCACCAATGCATAGCTGAGAGAATAAAGTAGGATTATTATACACAAAGCTTTTTTGTGATAATGTATTTTAATTTGTTAGACAAAGAGGGTTGAGTCTTTAGGTTGGCCAATACGTGTTCTTGTTTACCTCGTGACAATATCTTCCATTTCGTCATTCTTATTTCTGTGGATTTTCTCTCAAAATGTACAATGACGAAATGGAGTATATATTTATAGTAATTCAACGATGTTAGTTTAGCTTAAATCTATAGATTTTTTATTACTTCTTTCTTATTCCTAGTTTTTTTTTTTTTTTTTGGTTAAGCTAATTTATAGCTATGTTACATACATTCTCATTTATTTTCAATGAAGATCATATTCGTACAAAAAAATAAAACATCATTAGTTTATACAATTTTCTTAACACTTTTATTATGCAACAATTGAGCTACCATTTTTTTTATATGAGCTACCATTTGAAGTTATTGCGATACAATCAATTATTCGATTACATGGTTATCGTTGTTTTAAGTCAAAAGATTCATGAAAATGGAAAAACTAAATCATACATCCTCACTTCAAGGCGAGAGACGACACATTGTGTATTAGACATCCGAGAAGTGGATAAGGGTGTAAGGAGAAAATTAACGTCATGCCAAGTTAGGAGCCACCAAAATAAATGAAACAGAATAAAAACATATTGGTTCATGCATATTTCTTTAGAAAGCTCATAAAAGACTTTTCACATATTGTCCAATCCTTTACACAACTCTTATGCAATTACGTGCCATTTGAGTTGAGAAGAAAGTGTGTTGAAACGTTTTTAAGGATAAATAAGCTCTTTCAAACACTTCTATTATGCAACACTAGATTAGTAATGAAGTCTACCGTGGCACTAGAAAAGATCATGGGTAAGCTACATTCTATTAGGACAAGACACTTTTCATCGCTTTTGTAGTGTTGGATAATGGCGTTTTCTTCTGGAAGAAACCAATTATATATACAGCAAGGTTATATAATTTAATACACATATAATCATAAATTTTGTTTCTTTGTTTCCATTTACAGGCTTGTATTGTATATCACATCATGGAACAAGTTGTGATTTACGCACTAAACTAACACTACAACTAGACATTGACATTTGACTTAAACAAAAGTCTCCTCTTCAAAACATTCACATACACATATATACCACAAACCATAGATTCCCTTTTGTCTTATACCTTTTCAAAGTTATACAACCAATAATGGATGAGCTCCACGAAGCCGCGATTGCTTATTACAACAATGGCTCCATGGAACAGCAGAATTTGTCGTGGCAGTTTTTCCGGGCAATGGACGTTAACGGAGACGGCCGTGTCAGCCTTCAAGAGTACACCGAGTTCTTGCGTCAAACCGCTGGTTTAGCTTGGGTCCATCCTGAGATGTTTCGCGAGCTAGACCGAAATGGAGATGGTCAGCTCGACTTTTGGGAGGTCTTGACTCTTTACTATGTGGCTCGGACCAGGACCATTAGCTGCCGCACGTGCCTCCGGATTCTCAATGGCCTATACTTCACGTGTGTCACATGCTTTGAGTCTCCATGTGGCAACACGTTTGATCTTTGCGTCAAGTGTTATATGCGTCGGACGTATTGTCATCCACATCGTCTCTTCTTGGATAGTTATGTCTTATTACGATCTAGGCGTATCCACCATCCTTTGGTACGTTGACTTCGTCAATCGTTTTCTATTAACCAATCCTTTTGGATTTATGCGTTTCCAATAGCTATATACATAAATTGCATTTGTTGACGTGTCGCGGTTAATTGATAGTTATCTATATATATATAATAGTTGTACCAAATTAACTTCTACATTTATTTCCTTAGAATTCATTGTGAAAACTGAAAAGTGAACACGATTTTAATTTGTAGACAGAAAGTCAACATTTTCATAAATGATCATGTCTCTCAAAATTATTTATGTAGTTTAACATTAACATACTAATACTATATATATGGATGATTATATCAATGAAAAGTCAACATTTTGTATGAATGATTATCGCATTCAGTATAAGAAATCCTTAATAATAGGACGTGCATGGTGCGAAGGAGGACTAATTAGTGGGAGTGTGGGACATATAATTAGAAATCAAACTTAGAATAGTCAATATATTCAAAGTTTTTTTTTTTGAAAAAGGAAAGTGTAATTAGTCAAGTGATTTCAATATATTCAAAGTTAACCCAAAAAAACTCGTTCTTTATTACGTCGATCTCTTTAATTATCTAGTTTTCTTTTTTTAAATACCTAGAATTTGATCGACCCAAGGTAACCAAAATGAACTAGAAACAAATGTTGTTAAACCAAACCAGAATGAAACATAAAATAACCATCTAAAATTCTTTCAACCAAGTCAATGTATAAATTAAACCACACCTTCATGGTTGATGAAATAAGCATACAATTTTAATTTTTTTTATTCTCTATTTTTTTCTTTAAGAAGTATGAATAGCTCGCATAAATAAATGATGGTTCATAGAAACAAACAAGTATTGATATGGTCATGTTCTAAATGGTGCACCAGCCGCCCGGCGATCAAAACCTAGCCGAACAACAACCTTCGAGGGTAAGCCTTTCTTCCATCTATTTTTTTTCTTAGTTATTGTTGTTGTAACAAATGGTCATTCTTATTTTTTTATCTAGTATTCAAGTACTTTTAATAATATAAGCAAATTAATTAAGTTTTAACGTGATGAGAATGGGGAAGTGTGGTTTGCAGATGGGGTGGTGGAATGCGTTGAGAGCAATGGAAGTTGCACTTGCTGTTGGACATCTCAGTGCTTTTTGCATCATTATGTGAAAGATCACTTTCTATCTCAAAATTTATACATTTTATTTTGATATTTAATTCTTTTATACACAATAAAACTTGCTTGATTTTCTTTGCATTTTTTTTTAAGAAAACATATATAAATTCAAGGCAACTGCAAAAACAATAGTTTTTAAGCTCATTAGAATTTGTTTGACTTTTAGTAAGCTTGTTTGGATCAGTTTGGAAAACTTTGGGTACATGTATAAAATCCATATACTTTTTTTTTTTTGGTAGGATAAAATCCATATACTTTACATGCATGTAATGATGTAAATCTTCAGTTTACATGCATGTTTATCAACTCTGAGCATGAGACCCGAGACCATATGTTATATGTCTGCGCGAATTAAATTTTGTGATCTCCTCTAGGCATAAACTTCAGCCAAACCTGTGGTATTGATTGGACAGATCAGGGAATAAAATCGAGCTCTTCTTTTTGTTTGACAAGCAGCTATTTATAAAAATTAAAAACAATAGGGAGAAAAAGCGAAGGATCCACAAAGATACATCTCTTGACCACTTGACGATTTTTTTTTTTTTTTTTTTTTTCACTTGACGATTTTTCATAATGGTGGATATGCTTATGTATAAGAAACAAAGCCTTTTGCGTTGCAAAAGAGGGCGACCATCCTTCAAACATGCAAGCATGGTTCGATAAATGCATTAGTTAAGTTGTGTGTATAATCAAATTCATTCGAAAAAAAAAGAAAAAAAAACTGGCCAAGTATTTAACCTCTTACAAGTTAAGCTTTGTTGGTATTCTCTCTCTCATGTCAGGTTCAATTTCAACTCATCTACCCGTCTCATGCTAAGATATGTTTCTTAAGCATCTGTTCATACTATTTGGCGAAAACGCAATCTAAGACGGCACGGTGAACTCCAAGAGCCACATAAGCAAAACCTAAAGTTTTTCGATCACTTGGTTCGTAATAGGCTTTGCTCACTCTGGAATTCTGAAATCTGAACACTACAAATTTGAAGACATGGAATACGATATGCAGGCCTGCCCAAAGTAAATTGCCGCCTAAGCAAAATCTCTTTTTGGTCCATACAAAAAAAATTATATAAAAAGTACACTATTTAGATTTGAACCCAACATCTTCAAGGAGAAAGTGAAGGTGTTAACCACTCTATCACAATAACTTTCAATAAATTGATGCCCTAAATTTTTGTTTACATATATGCTGCGTAAATCCCTTGCTTTACGGGTTTTAGCTTTAGGCTAGGCCTGCTCATATGTCTTGGTTCAAGAAACTAATATAATTGGACTGTATTTTCTAAAATTTGTAATCGTCTTTTAGTTTTTTTTTTTTAATTAACATTCTATGAAAAATGCATATAATGGAAACAAGATTTTTTGGTTTAAACAAATTTTTATTCATTTAAAAAACAAAATCACATGATCTTCGCAAGTTCAAAGCTGCTAAATTCGAAAGACAAAAGGTCAATATTGTAAATATATTTGCTATTATAATAAAAGACGATATAAGCACAACAATCCGTTGTAGTCAAGCTGGTCAGGATACTCGGCTCTCACCCGAGAGACCCGGGTTCGAGTCCCGGCAACGGAGCTTTTTTGTTAGTTGTTTTTTTCGGTATCAAACCCATGAGCCTCCCTCCCTCAGCCTCATAGATGAAAACCTTTTCATTTCAAATCGTGAGTTGATTAATCCATTTCTATTATCCAATTACTCTTGGGTTTACTCTTTGAGCACTATGTGTTTTTTCTTGTGTCCAAGTGTGTTGATTAGTCCATTTCTATTATTTGACAACTCAAGAGTTATATGAATCTTGCTAAACCATTATGTTCCATTATCTTGATGAAATGGTGGTACGTAGTTATGACAAACAATTACTTGTGCTATTCTTTTGATTACTATAATTCGTTGTTGGTTTTTATGCTTCTCATGTACTCGACTTTTTGATTGAAACTATCAAGAAGTTGATTTTCATTGTTGGTTTGTACTCTTCTTCTCTGATGTTCTTTTTGTGGTCTCGAAGCCTATATGAATCTTGTAACTGCAAAAGATTGCTACTACTGCCATAAAATGGCTGGACAAGAAGAAAACACAGAGGCAGGTGTTGAAAATGGTATGCATCGCGAACCGTTTTGATGGTAATACAGTTCCGAGTTTTGCTATTCCATTAGAAGGGAAAACGCGAGATGGACGTTAAGGCGACATATGTTTCTTTTCAATTGTACATTAAAGATTTAAGGTTCTTGAATACTGGCTGAAACTAATCTAATGCTCCCATTACTTCTTTTTTTTATACAAAATGATGAACATAACCTTTTGTCTTTTTTTTCAAATTTGAGGCATTTCTCTAGATTCTTATACATCCGTTTATTTCCGTTGGTGTCAGCTGATCTTACGTTACCCACATTTTCATGGTGGAAGGGGAAAAATAACATACAAAAGAACACTTCATTGCTAGAAATTTAGAGATGAGGAAAAAAAACAAGAAAAGATCGATGAGTGGAGGTAACCTTTATATTTCTTCTTATTCTTTGTCACAGTTCTTTTTAGCTACTTGAAAGCATTTAAAACTGACTAGGAGCAATGCATATAATCATGCCAAGAGCCAGAAGTTCTTATGTGTCTTGGTGTTTAAAACATAACCTCCATTTTGACCTTTCTTCGTTACACCAACACAAGTGCATTTGCTGTTCTCGATTAGATATTCCGCTGTGTCTACTCCTTTTGAACCTCTTAGTGACCCTCCAGGCCTCCTAGTTCTGTCAATCCAAACCATCCTCATTATTAGAATCCCGTATCGAGGGACCAACACTAGTATATAAAAAATATACGCCAATCTATTCATTGCCAATTGGTTTAACAATTTATGAGAGAACATACCCTAGAAGGGAGGATGAGATTGTCCGACGTTGGCCTATGATTATAACATCAACACCAAGCTTGTCACCATGAAGAAGAATCGCTGTAGCTTTGACACCTTCCATAGCTATACACTCGGTGTGTACTCGCACTTTTGGCTGAGCGATTTCACATATCCGTTTCATCTGTTCCAAGAAATTCCCATCTCCTTGACCAATCTCAGAGGCTAAAGCGGTTGCTGCCGCGTTAGAAGCGGTTGCGGTGCCGTTAGAAGCGGGGGAGGAGCCGCTGCTAGAGGAAGAGATGGAGCTTGGTAATCTCAAAAAACTTGAGAAAGCGTTTTTCCAAGAACCACCAGAGTTTTCAACATGAACAAGAATAAGCTCGTCTTGCTCGAGCACGGCGTGTGAAAGAGCGTATTGAAGAGCGGCTGCAGATTCACGGGTCGGATCAGCGATCACCATGATCTTACGAGATTGTGGTGTTGAAGATGATCCTCTACGACCCTCTTCCATACCCTTCTCCTTCTTCTTATTGCTTCTCCACTTTGCTTATATCATTACCATTTTTGATGTTTTTTCTGATGGGTTTGTTTTAACTTTTGATCAGAGAAATTAAGGTATCAAAAACTCACGATTCGTTGTCACGGTTTGTGTTCATGTTTATCTCTGAAAATACAGTTTGGAAAAATTAAAGCCACTTAACCGTTGTGTGTCTACGTTTAGAAAAAGAAAGATAATTGTGGTGGTGATGGTTAGTGTTGCTATTTTTGAGGAATACGTCACTTTGTTTTGGTTAATTTTAGGTGTTACCAACTTCCAACACAACAACATGTATCAAAATCACCAATTATTTCTATGGCTTTGGCCTTTGTGTGTTTCTGTTAATTTTTTTCCCTGACTTCTTTTAAATTTTTGACAGTTTTGAAAGATGATGAAGGCACCTATTTGACATAGTATTTACAACCAACTATAAATAGTGCCTTCATCATCTTTCAAAACTGCCACTGTCAAAGATGATGGGTTGTAGAGACTACATGCAATTTGTTTTTTTTTTTAAAAAATCAAAACGACGTCGTTGTGTAGATTAACAGAAATTCTCAACAGAGAGTTAACCCTATTAATTTATTCCGTCAGTCAATTTAACGACTTGGCTATTTTAGCAAAGTCAACAAAATTTAGTGATTAAAATGAGAATTCAATAAAACAATTTACGATAAAAATTAAAAGTCAATAAAAGTTAGTGCATTATATTGTATCCAGGCAAAGTTGGGGTTTTCTGGCATTTTTAACAGTTAAAGATTTTGTTTTGACATTTTCTAATTTTTTTTTTTTTTTTTTTTTTTTTTTTTTTTTTTTTGACATCAACATTTTCTCAATTTTTAGTGACCAAATCAAACACATGATTTTATAGTCCTCGCAATTATATTTTAACCAATCATGTTGACTATTAATTTTTTAAGTTCTTAAACTCTCTCTCTCTCAATTTACTCTACTTTTTCAGTTTTTTTTTTTTAATTATTTAATTCTCCTCACCGAAGAAAATTAAAAAAAGCCAAAATTATTATTTTTCATCTTTCTCATATAATTTGAAAACTCAATCTAAGACTATTTTTAATAATATTTTTTAATAATTTCAACTGATTAGGTCCAATTTTTTTATTGTTTATTCTTGAATTCCATTCTGAATATTTAAAATGGTAAATTAATTATTATTATCATATTTCTTTTTAAATTTATACATTATGAGAATTGTTGAATAAAAAAACTAAAATTTTTAAAACAGTGGCAGTCTCTAAAATTTCATAAGTGAAATTTTTCAATTTTTAGCTAATTATATAAATATATTCAATAAAATGTTATGATAAAAAGACGCAACACAGCCTACCAAAAAAAAAAAGACGCAACATTTTATATAGTGTTATGTTAAAGAGAAAAATCTTCGAGAAAAAACAAATAACCAAAATTGATAGTTATTTCAGAAAAAATAACAATAAGAATATAGATAACAAAGATACATGAATGCTAGATATCTAAAAATGCAATTTATAAGTATCAAACAGAAAGTAATAACAAAGATTCTTTTTTTTTTCTCAAAAGAAAATTTTTATCATTCACGAAAGTTTGGGTTAAAATGCTTAGCTTATTGTACTTTTAATTTAGGGAAAATTGGATATAAAGGATAAATAATTATGCTATTGTCTATCCATGCATTTTATGACTAAATATCACATATTCCTAATTTACCATTTGTAGTTGGTTTAACTAGTTTTTCAAATAAAATTTAGAACAATTTGTAGGCAAATGAAAAAGAAGTCATGAGGATGCTTATAATGTCGAAAATATATCGTTTTTGTTACCGTTTTGGATAAATAAAATATGATCTACGAAGTTTAGAATACACATTCTGAATTTAGAATGTGTATTCTACAAATTGCTTATGTTCTATTAAAGTTAGATAATGTATTCTATGCACTTTACATGTTCTACGAAATTTAGAACATATTTCTGTTCTACGGTATTTATATAGCTAATTTCTACGAAATTTAGAATACATATTCTATACTTTGCT